GGCGTACCCGATCAGTTACAGCCGGAACTTCGGGCTTCCGCAGAACCGGAAGAGGATCTTCATTTTGGGGGCTAGAAGGTCGGTCCACTAGAAAGGGAGTGGCAGACCGAACCAAATACCCACGGGCTGCCAAAAAGCCAGCTTCCTGACACGGGGCACTTCCTTCAGAAGGGGCTTTCCAAGAAGGTGAACGCCAACGGGCTTTCGAGAAGCAAGCAGAGGAACATTATCGCCGGCAGGTGCTCAAGGCCAAGTGTGTGCTGGGCTCGGGCCATAGCATCATCGACTCAGCTGCCGGAAAGAAGTGGCTATTCTCCCACCCTCACATGTATTCGAGCCTCTGGCTATAACTTCTGGCTGGACAATCTGCAAGATGTGTGGGATTGGCTGTTGGTGTGTTGCTTTGATGTTGGTGCTTGAGGCTACGCAGGGCTTCTGCGACTTCCGCTGGCCGAAATCCGTGTCCCGTACTTAGAGAGGCAAGATGCTGGGCAATGCCATGTCGCTTCCTGTCCGAGTCCTGCAATCATAGTTTGTTTGCTTGCGTGCTGAGTTGTTCTACTTTGGTTCGGGCATGGAAATATTCCCTCAAGGATGAGCTGCTGAATATGCTTTGGAGTGGCAACGGCCTCTCAAGCACAGCTGCAACTATTGTCCGAAAGAATCTGTCCACACGCGCCTTGCGGCGAACCGTGGTGGTTGGGGGGCTTCTCCAGAAAAACCTTCAACAAACGGAGATCGACCCCAGTTTGTTGCTTGTATTTTTTCATTGAGCCTTGGGTGTTTGCTGATCTGGTAGCGCTTTGAAAATTGGCACCGGGGCACCTCCCCGGCCTGTCAGCGCCAAAGGCAGACCTTCGGAGTCGACAAGGCTCGACGGGGATTCCCCGTTCTTTGCAAGTAGCGCGCTTTCCCTGTCAAACGGAACAGGCGACCTCCGTGAGTCTGTCTTGCGCTTCCCAGCCGCATCAGCGTCCCAAGCGAAAAGGTTGGAGCCCTTCTTGCATCTCCTTTGAGGTACTCCACCTTTGACAATGCAACTCATCGCGGTGAGCAGGGAGTTCACCAGGTTCTTTTGCAGACTCCTGAGTTTCCAGAATAAAGTCCTTATCTTCCGACTCAGACCAGTAGCTGCCTTCTGCTTGTTGACCGCTGATGGGCGGATGGCGTTTTTCACAAGTGAAACGCTCTCCAACACATCTTCGTCATCATCTGGCGCCGCCTGCGTCTCCGCAGTCGGGTTGTTGTCATCTCCTGTCAGCTCTCCACTTTGCATTGACATCTTTGTGATCCAGGATGCTCTTCAAAGTAAAGTGGATCCATTCGGGCCCCGAAAAAGCCGTATGGATCTACTTTTTCACGTTCGGGGCCCCATGGATACATTTTTTCGGGACTCGAGTTGATACACTTTTCGGGAACCGAATGGATCCACTTTTCCGCATCCACTTATCCGGACCCGAATGGAAGTGCTTTTCTAAATTCAAATGATGAAACCTGTTTTTTTACACGTGCAACATTTGGATTTGCTCCAGGTTTCAGGGCGCATGTCCACGGACTCGGGGCCCAAATGCCAAAATCTTGCCGGCCCCAAACGCGTCACTTTTTGAACCACGAAAAAAGGTTTTCTGAGTGGACTAACGAAGGGTTGATGTGGAACAGTTCGAGGTAAACACAACCTTTGTGTGGTTCTGGGCCCCAATGGATTTACTTTTCGGGGCCCGAATGGATCTCTTTTCGGGGGCCTTACTCGGCCCCGAAAAGTGAACCCGTTCAAGCCTTGAGTTGAAATAAATAAAGTAAACTAAACAAACAAATTGATCAGGACAGAAAATTAAAGAAAGACACAAAGAAACAAAGCAAGAAAGGAACCAAAGAGAGAATAGAGTATATAAAAACTCCACTTGGCCCGAATGAATCCAGTTTTCGGGACCCGAATTAAGCCCTTTCAGCTCAAGCTAAACAATTTTCGGGCCCCAAATTCGTCCACCCAGTCAGGGCCCGAAATGATAGCTAGTTCGGGCGCCGCTAAGGTGGGTAAGGTTTGGCCGTGTTTGTATGGAGCATTTTTGTAGCAGCAAATGTGGACCGTTTGATGCAACTATACGTGACTTCAAAGATAATCTCTTTCGGGCTTCAAAATGTATCAGCCAATGCAGTCTGGGTTCCTTGTAACATGCCAGTAATTGTGAGCCATCAGCATGAACCGTTTTGCGCCTTGTTTCGCCAGCAGCCAGTTGCAGCATAAAAGCCTGGCCGGGTGCCAACATCCGATTTTGGGATCTGGCCCGCAACCATCACTACGAGACGCAGTTCATATTCAGCTGGTACGCGTGCTGTTGTATGCGTTTTGTTGCGTCGTGTGTGCTTCTTGCACGCGCGCGCAACACGCGCAACACGCGTGTTGTGTGCGTTTTGCGCGCTGTACATGTATCTTGTTGCGTCTTGTGCGTTCCGTATGTCTTGTTTCACGCATCGCGCGTGTGCTTCTTGTATGCATGTTGATTGAATGTTGTTGGTGTGTTGTATGCGTGTTGCGGCTGTGTGCATTTTGTATCCTCTTCGTATGCGTCGTGCATGAGTCTTTATACGCATGTTGCATGCATTTTGTGCATTGAGTGCGCATTGGGCTTGCAAAATTGTACGCATGCTGCTTGCGTGTTGTACGAGTGCTGTGTGTTTCTCGTGTGCGGGACGCACTTGCTAAGTTCGCCTGGGCCAACATAGTAAGTTTGCCCGGAGAAGTTACTAAGTACGCCCAGGCAGAGGTAGCAAACTCTGCCAAGCACCTTACGTAAACTCGCCAAATTCCCCGTCGAACATGGCTTTGTCCACCTGTACGTCTGCCGCAAGCTCGCCAATGCGCATGGCGAGGTTCCTATCCACATAGCGTAGCGAGGGCTACATAGCCGTCTTGGTGCGCGCCGGGTACATAGTCACCTGCACGTCTTTGCGCATGTCCTCGGAGCTCGTGCGTCTGTTCTGAGGCAGTTTGACAAGTGTGCAAGTTTTCGGGGTTGTCGGGAATCTCAGGTCGAAGTGTGCAGTTTTGGAGCAAGTCAGCACACATGGCACGTTGCGGGTGTGCTTATCATGTGCCAGAGTGCGTGCAGCTCTGACGGGATGCGCGTCATCGGGTGTGCTTATCATCTGCCAGCGCGCGTGATGCGCGTGAGCGGGTGCGCTTGTCATGTGACAAGGTACGCGCAGCTCACAAGTCACGCGCGTGAGCGCGTGTTCTTACCATGTGCCAGCGTACCTGCGGGTTTGACGTGGTGCGCGTGAGCGGGTGTGCTTGTCATGCGCCAACAAGCGTGCAGCTCTGACGTGACGCTCGTGACACGGTGTGCTGATCATGTGCCAGCGTGCGTGCAGCTCTGGCGTGATGCGCGTGAGCAGGTGTATGCTTGCCAGGCCAACGAGCGTGCAGCTCTGAGGTGATGCGCGTGACAGGGTGTGCTTACAGCGCGCGTGCAACTTGAACGAGATGCGCGTGAGCGGGTTGTGCTCATCATGTGTTAAACTGTTAGTTCGCGTGCAGCTCTGACGTGACGCGCGTGAGCGAGCAGGTGTGCAGGGGTGGAAGCCGCTCGGACATGCGGCTAACTTATAGATGAGATTAGAGGACGTCCAACCTGAGATAGCTTGCGTGCTAAACTGCTTCAAGCGCGCCGTCGATAGCAACACCGCCGAGCGTCCAAGAACGTTCGAAAAGTCGAAACGATCGAAAAACATGAAAATTTTCGAGAAGTACGAAACGTTCGAAACGTTCCAGACGTTCGAAATTTTTGAAAATTTCGCAACGATCGAAACGCTCGAAACGTTTGAACAGTTCGAAACATTCGAAGCCTTTGAAAAGTTTGAAACATTTGGAAAGTTCCACACTAACCTTTCGCGCTGCCAGCAGCGGTCTGCGAAACACGCGCAGCCCACATACAGCGACGTCAGCGCAGTGGAAATTTGCTACGCCGTGGCTAGATTTTCAGGCTTGGCTGGCGCTTCTTCACGCCTCCAAAAAATTGACTGTATTCGTCACCCCGAATTCAAGCGTCAAACCCTGCTTGGTCAAAAAGCACGGCCCCTGCGGAACATCCTGGAAAGGAACGGGAGACGGCCACGGAATTCATCGAGAAGACGGATGAAGAACAGGAACCGTTTTCCGGCGGAGAAGCGACAGTGAGACAGAAACCAAGGTGAGTATTGCCAAGGGATGTTTCCCTGCATTCCCTGAGGACGACCCAAGTCTGTTTGACCGCGATAAGTTTCGGCCGCCTGTGCGACATTGCTCAGATCATCACCATCGCGCGCCCCAGAGTTGATTCACGTTGTGTGTCACAAGGTGCGAAGATAAACGGCCAGCTTCAGTAGAACGCAGGTGTGAACAGCTACCGGCGTCAAGCAATGAGCCGAACGCGGTGATTTCAATTCACAGAAGAGCTCACACATGATCTTCACCAAGAAACTACACTGTGTGTTGCTGCGCCGAAAATACGCCAGATGAGTTTGACGGCTGATCAAGACGCCGCGCAGAGGCCGCGCCAGCGGGAGTCAAGGGATGCGAAAACACGAGCGCCAGCGCTGAGGAGCGTAATGGTGCTTGGATCAATGATGAGATCGTTCAGGCCACGTGCAGGGTCAGGGTGGCCTTTTCTGCGGCGCGGCGGCGAGAAGAGCTTGGCGAGCCTTGCGAGCCCAGCAAGCAAGGCGGAAAACCCTGCGCAGTTAAACCCTCGCAAAGGACTGGAGGGCCAGCTGTTGAAGGCTTGAAGGGACAGACCGCCTGCCGGACAGGAGGCAGGAAGACTATCCCGCAAGCGTGTGGAACCCTGCCGGCCGCACGAAAAGACTGTCGTTCACAAACACTGGATACAAAGGTATGTGCCCATGAATAGTGTAAAAACACATCTTCTGGTTGAGTGTGCGCAATCCATGATTTATTTCGGTTCAGTGATTACCTTTCTCCACATAGACATCATTTGACATCTCCTTCAATTTTGCGCAAGGAGGAGGGCCTGGACGAGGAGCTGCGGGCGCAGCTGCGGGGCGGGTTCCCAGAGCTGGCAGAGTGGACGGGTGTTGCCACTCTGCGTCGCATCCTGCGGGCCTCCCAGGGGTCCATGGCCCAGGCGGAGCCGAAGCGGGGCGCCGACAGACAAACAGACAAATGTGACAGACAGCCTGTGGCCACACAGGCAAAAGCCTGAGGCTCCTGCCAGTGGCCGGGCCAGTGTGTGTGTGTGTGTGTGTGTAAAACGGTCGCGCGAGAAAAGCTGTTGTGCAGCTTGGGTGGAGATCATTCGAAGTAAAGTAATTTGTCTTACGAAAGTATGAGTAAGGGAACATCCAGGGGCGTTGCGTTGCCCACTTGTGGCAGAGGGCGAGCGGAATGCCGCTGAGTTTTGGAGCTCCGCAGGTGTCAGGCAGAAGGCAACTTCGAGTCCAACAAATTCAAGCCATGTAGAGGGGTTCTCAAGAATCACAGTGGGAAAGCCCTCTCCGACAGTACTTTGGACTGGATGGCCAAGCGAGCGCTTTCCAGGCAGTGCCGATGCTGATGAAGGCGATTGAGTGCCGCGTGAGGGAACGCGAGCTCTTCCAGTGCATGCGCTGCAAGGTACGGGTGGCTGCGCGTGAGCTGCAAAAGGATGGCGTTGCTTGCCAGTAGAGTCGGCGAAGCCGGTGGGCGGAAGTTTCAATAATATAAAAGAACTGTAGTTCTCTTTCTCTTTCTTGTCTTGATTCTTGTTCTGTCTCTGTCTCTGTCTCTGTCTCTGTCTCTGTCTCTGTTGACCTTGCGTAAGTGCAGCGCCTGCCACGAAAACTGTACCCCGCCTTGCGAAAGTGCCGCGCCTGCCACACAATCTGCACTTGGCCTTGCGAAAGTGTTGCGCTTGCCGCGAAATCTGTACCTCTCCTTGCAGAAGTGCAGCGCCTGCCACGCAATTCAAGCCTCAAGAAAACTTGGCCTTGCGAAAGTGCTGCGCCTGCCACGAAATCTGTACTTGGCCTTGCGCGCGTTGCCGTGCCAATGAGCCCGCTCTCCGAAGGTGTTCCGAGATCGCTCCGAACGTGGTATGCGCGTGGTCCGAGCATGAAACGCGGTCCGTCCAGGCGCCGCGAACAAGCTAGCTTTCAGCTTTCCGGACATGCCTCTCCCACCACACGCGCGCACATTTTTCTTCACGTGCTTATTCCTTGTCTCGTCATTTGTCTCAGAGAGCTAGCTTTCAGTTTGTTGCCGTAACCGTCCTGATCGCATACTGCTAGAGGCTTTGGTGGACTAAATCTTGGTGATGAGCGGTGCATGACGTCCCCAGCTTTAAACAGATCAACTTGGCGCATTTGACGCCTTCGGACTTTCGACGTGGAACCTCGGATCTATTTCATCGGCACTCCATTTCAAGAGTGGGTTGTTTTGGTTGAAGGCCGAAGGGCAAAATTCCCTTTGCCTTGTGGGGACGCAAGGACTGTTGGTCGAGATTCTTGGTGCCACGTGTGCCATGTGACGCATAATGCTCACGGGCCACGACAAACGGCTTGTCCAGGTGGCGTGCGATATGAGAATCATCGGCCGCGACAGAGAGAACCGGCCGGCCATCTACATGAGCGCCAGAAGCCAGACAGAGCCGCTGCGATTGCTCATACCTCAAGTATTTTTGGCCTTTGAGGCAGGATGAACGAAATGCAGGTAGCCTCCCACGGATCCTGGAGTGTAGATAGGGTAGAGGTTTCTGTCGAGTTTCATTTTAGTTGAGCACTACTTGTGTTGATGCGTCCGGCATTTCTCTGCCACTGTTCAGGCAGCTTCGAGACTTGCGCAGGAGGATGGTCAAGCGATCCTTGTGGCAGATATGGTGCAGCTCCTTTCTTGGCTTCAGCGAGGGGAAGTGTCAGGCAGACGCTGCCTTTTTCGGGAGGCCAGTGCTTTTGATCCGGACGGTTTCATTCTGACCATCAAACCTTGGTAGACGAAGGCAGCGAGGGGTATTCCCAGCCATGATTGGGTTGGGCAATCCTTTAAAACCTGCATATTCATGTACATGGATTGGGTAGGCTTTTTTTTTGTGCTAGGTTTTGTTACGGCTCACATTGAGTTGCCTGCCCGAGGCTGCAAACGCACCTGAACATGGACCCCTTTGCCTTCAAAGATCTGGCCAACAACTTCGGGGTTGCTGGCACTCAGTGAGAGAGTTCTCGATGCCAGCAAGTCCCTTGGAGTGTGGAAACGTAAGTTTTGAGTGATTGTGAGTGTCTGCGCAGAGCTGAGCCCAGAAGCCGAAAGGGAGTGTTCCGGATTGTCATTTTTGGACAGATACTAAGGTCTTTGCCGATCGTCTCAAATGCATTCTGATTGTGGACTTCTCCTTTATCGCACAGGCCTGGGTTTTTCCAAGCAAAGTCCACCTTTGACTGGCAATGTTTGCGCAGGCATTTTGGGCAACGGTGCGACCGTTTCTCAGTGAGTGCAAATCTCGGTACTGAAGCAGCACATTTTAGGCACTTGCGCTTTTTGCTGCAGCCAAGGAGGACGCAAAAGAAGATCAACTTTGTCAGTGAGGCAACCACCCACCTTGCTCCCCTTTTCCATTGTGTCTCCTCCCGGGTTGGGCTGCCACCGGGCTTCGGGCTACCCGGGCTGCCCGGGCCGGGCTACCCGGTTGCCAGACCGCTCGGATGGCCAAGGCGAAGGCTCGGCAGTTCGTGAAGGAGAACTTCTTTGGCCCCACCAGGGACAGGAGCGAGAAAGCTTTCTATCGAAAGGAAACGGAAAACGAATTTAGAAAGGCTTACGAACTCCGTGCCCCGCAAAATCGCAGAGCCAAAAGTGGAGCCATTGGCGTGGAAGGAGCACCCAGCGGCCAATTGCACTGCTTGCGGCCCACGGTTGCCGTGATGGATTTTAGATGGAACTCATTTTCACACCCATCAATTTGTTCTGGAGTTGCTGGGTCCAGCGAGCCGGAATATGTCAACAAAAGGTCCACTTCATTGGCTGCACAAAAAAAGCTAGAGGGGCAGAATAGCGGCGCTCGAGGATTCTCAGCTCTTTTGATATCAATCGAGACGAGCCGCGGGCTTGGTCCATCGAACCGTCGAAAAGGGGCATCAGACCCAGAGAGAGAGAGCTGTCTAAGGTTGAGCACGCAAGAGGACAGGTTTGCACATGCGCCAGACATCTCAGAATGCAAGCCGACAGTCGCCATGCGTGTGTGTTGCAGGGTTAGGCGTTTCAGCAAATGATTTCAGCAAATGCGTGTGGATGTGGATGAATGCTTGTGGGAGCTTGCTGACCTCGAACGGCCCTAGCCCTTCCATTGAGAGCGTTCGAGTCTTGCGCATGCCCCAGGCTCCGGACGGCGATTTGCGATGTTCCGTTAGGGGAGCTGCGGGCACCTGATGAGGCCCTCTCAGTTTGTTTGGCTCTCCAGCTGCCCACTTCCCATGAACGTCATGGAGCGTTGTTTTTTTTTTTGCCGCTCTCAGAGCAAACAAGACCCACGATATCATTTGAGTCAGGATGCATCCAATTTGTTGGTCTGTCAGGCAGGATGAGGACAGCGAGGTGTTTGGCGAAACTTGATTGCAAGACCGGAAAGTTCGTGGGTTTGCTCCAAACGCATTCCTTCCAAGGACGAGTATCTCTCGGACTTTTTACCATGCTATCACTTGGCTCCTGCCGCAAAGTGGAGGAGTTGAGGGCTTGGGAACGTGCCGGAGCTATACGAATCTTCTTCAAAACAGTGGGCCTTGTTCAGTTGCCGTTCTGTTTGCTTGTTTCATTTGGCAGCCCCGAGCTTGTATACCTTGGCAGTTCATTGGCAGTTCATTGGCAGTTCATTGGCAGTTCCAGCTCAGCCAACCCTACCTAGAGGGAGAGGCGCAGCCAGCTCGATGAAAGCATTGGGAATCACCCGGTGAATTTCAGAAGATGCGACCGCACTTTCTCGGCGCTTTGGCTTCCCCCAGCTATCCCTTTGCTTTGCCTTCAAGAACTATTGGTGTTGAGATGAAATCCCCGTGTCTGTCACAGGATGTATATGTAGTTGGTTTTCCATTACACAGCAATAGCACCCCCGAGTTTTTGTCCAAGGTTTGGCAGGGCAAACCGTGGCAGTTTCCCCGGTCGGTCGGTCGGTCGGTCGGTGGGCCGCCTGGGTCGATCAGTCTGTCGGTCAGCCGCCGCCAGAGGTGAGGGCCATCCGCGTTGCATGAACATGTCACCGAAGCCATCGATGCGCGAATCAGCAAAACGCCTGCGAGCCTTGCCCTGCCTTGCCCTGCCTTGCGTGCTTTCGGACCTGTGGCCCCACATTGGTAGCGGAGCACCAAGGCTCTTTCAACTAAGACCAGGGCCAAACTAGGACTGGACGATGTACCTCTGATTCTTCTAGTAATTGAATTTCACGCCCAGGCCCCGTCTGAAACCGACTGAAACTTCAGTCGAGCCTGGGTTCAAGATTCAAGAGCACCTAGAAAAGTTTGGCCTGCAATCTGGATTGAGCCAGATTGAAAGTTCAATCTGGCCTGGATTCAAGATTCAAGATGCAAGATTCCCTGGAAAAGTTTGCCTGGAACCTTGAATTGAATTTCAGCCTAGATTTACAAGGCTTGAAAGAGATTGAAATTTGAATCTGGGCTTCGATTCAAGAATGTTGGACAATTTGGCCTGGAGTCTTGAATCTTGAATCTGTGATTAAAAGAGATCGAAGGAGATTAGAATTTAAATCTGGGCCTCGATGGCAGCCGACTGACAATTGAATTGTGCCTAAAGCTTCCAGAATACTCTTGGAAATGCACTTTTGTTGCTGCTTCCCCGAAAGACCCCCCAAAAGGAGAAAACGCAAAAAATTCCAGCGAACTCTTCAAAAAGGTAGGTCCCTGGAAGGGGGGGGGGGCGCCACACATAATATATATATATATATATATGTACATATATATATATATATATTGGGAGGGGGTCTTAGCATATATATATATATATATATGTACACCCGCAGGACGGATGGTTCGCCGCCCCTCATGGACGCATCTCGCAGTACCGTAAACGCGCCGCGCCAGTCGGATTCGCGTACTTTCGGTCACTCCAGCGCGCAATTGCGGCACGCCTCAGCCCATATGCGTTGCTATCGTTGGAGGGTTATTGTTCAGTTGTTGTTTGCCTCACTTTGGGCTGGCTTTCTGGCTATTGTGTGTTTTTGGTGAGTCTGCGTGGCTTTTCCCACCCTAAACCAATCCTAAGCAACCACTCAACCCACCTTAAACCACAACTAAAACCACCCTAAGACACAACTAGACCAACCTCAAGCCAAACCTGAAAACACCCTAGAGAGGCTCCAGCGAAACCCTAAACCTTCACCAAATCCACCCCAAGTCCAGCCGAAGCCAATCCTAAGCAAATCCTGAAGCAACCCTAAGCCAGCCGTAAACCTACTCTAAACCAACCCTGACCGCACTAATTCCAACCTAAACCAGAACTCAACCCACAACCCGCTCCACTGACGGAAGGTGCTTTCTTCCTAGGTTGGGCGGTTGTTCTTTTTCCCCAGGCTCGGCACTAACGATGCAGTGTTCAGTTTGCTCTAACAACATGCACCTGTTTTACCAGCCTCAACATCCCCAGCATCGTTTTTGCCACCCAGCATCGTTTTCAACGCCCCCGCGGGTTTACGGTTGGTTTAGGTTGGCTTAGGGCTAGACCCTTGCTTCGTCGCAGCGCTCCAACCGGGTGCCGCATCAATCTCAAGCTCTTTCCACTTCATTTGCAATGTTGCCAGGTGAGAAATTCCCGCAGTTGCTTGAGTTGCACAGCAAGTCCATTTGGAATGCCGCGCGCTCGGATCGCTTGTGTTTGGATGAACTGAGCACGAACACTCAGAAGGAGCAACTTGGGTGTCAGAACCGAGGGTGAGCAGTTGCATTTTGAAACGCAGCAGCAAGGATGGAACCTGAGCCGTGTCCGCGTCTCAATATAGAAGCTGTCCCATCTGTATTTTGAGCACGGCAAAGACGAAGAAGATCAAACCTGCAAGTTTGACGAGCTACTTGCCATGTGTAGGCCAGGTCACGCGTGTCTCGGGGTCGCGGAACGCAGCCTTGAAACCTACCAACCTGAAACCTTGTAGTCTTGCAATCCTGCATCTTTGCAACTCGCCAACCTTGCAGCTCTGCAAGCCGGGGGTTCGTGCCGTTTGCAAGCTGCAACAGCAAGTCCCAGGTAAAAATGCCAGCATACTGAGGGAACAGTAGCAGAAGGCTGGAAGATGACCTGTGTGGTCAGCGAGAAGCCCAAACTGCACAGAAGCTCACACGCCCCCGCCCAACCCTGCAAGTCTGCTAGTGAGGAGTTTATACGTGACGGCATGTTCAAAGTGGCGTTCCCAAACAAAGCGGTACAGGCGACTTCTCCATGCCGACTTGTTGCCGTGTTGGCCTGCCGTGCCCCAGCGGAGTCCGTTGGACCTATTTGCGTTCAGAGATTGAGATAGGTCGGAGGAGCGCAAGCGCATATCGGGGCAGCGTCTTGCAATTGGAATCAAGCGGCCTTTCTAAAGGAAATGACTTGCTGCGCAAACAGTGTTGACCCAATGCCTTAGACGCCGAACCTCTTCCCCCCCCAACACTGGTGCTTGGGAGTTTTTCGTGCCTCATGGGCTCATGGGCTCATGGGCTTGTGGGCGTGAGAGCCAAGAGCCGCTCGCTTGTTCGCAGCTGTGGGCCCGCAGCCATGGCGCTTGTCCCGGCGCCCGAAAGCTCGCCCAGGGCGCCCAGTTCCGGCTGAGTTTTCTTGTTGTCTCTTTTTTTATCCCCCCCTTTTTTTTCTTTCTTGTTTTCTTGTTTTGTTTTTTGTTTTTTGTTTTTTGTTTTGTCGCCGGGACACAACGCTTGGTTGCTCGTGGTTTGTTGGTATCCCTCGAACGACTTGAGTCGACACGTACTTCTGTGACGAGTTGTGAGCTGAATCTGCTTTCGAGTCGTTCGCATACCTTGACAGATATCGTGACAATCTTTGGAAAACGTTATCAGCTTGTCGCTTGTGCCAGTTGTGAATGAGTGCTTGGTGGGGGATCAGTTTGACTAGCAAGCCGAAGATGGAGTTGCCCTCACTTGGCATGTGGCTTGAACCGTCGTTGGGTCAAAATGAGGCTTGCCGCAAAGAGTGCGGTACAGGGGCGGTTGATTTGTTCATTGGTGCATTGATAGACCGCCTCTGCGTTTTGAGGTTGCGGTGGCTCTTTTTTTTGCAGTGGAAGCACATCCTTAATCATGTTGCCATTTTGCACCGCACTGTGGTACCTTTGTACAATCTGTGCATCACTACTTGATCAATTCAAAGACACATTGCTAAATTGCTGTAAAATGTTTGCCGCTCTGTCTTGTAGTGCGCCGTACCATGAAGGCTTCATGCACTTCTCATGACACATCAATCGCAGGCGCATGTGCAATTCAATTTGGTTTCGTGTTGACTCGTGACGTCTCTCTGCATTTCTCCATACAGTGATCTGCGTCAGTACTCAAGTCTGTGAGATCCTTAGGACACAGCCACCGGCCACAATTCATATTTCATGGAGTTGACAGAGCCCATGTGCCGCGCAAGTCAAGTTTCGCCCGACTCAAACTGCTTTGAAGGTCGCAGCATCAATTTTTGTCTGTTCCTGCGCATTGTGGCGTTTGTTGCATTGCTGGGTGACCCCCTCCTCGATTGCGCCCAGAATGGAGACCGTACAAGAAATGGTTTGCACTGTGTGTGTGTGTGAGAGATTTTGGGCTCACAGCATTCCAATCTGGTAGCATGTCAGGTTTTTGTCCTCGCTGAACGTCGAACGAAAGAGAGCGCTGGACATACAGAAGAAGCGCGAGGCACGCCAGCATCTTGTTTTAGCATGTTCTTTGCTCCGAGTTTTTTTTTTTTTTTTTTTTTTTTTTTTTTTTAACAAGGCAAGGCAGCTTTAGCTGCTTCAGAAGAGAGACCATTTTGCGGAGCTTCAGGGGGAGCATTAGAGTCGCGCCAGGACTTGCTCGAGGACACAGAGCACGGATCTAAAATCCTGGGACTGCACCACGACCTCCAGGCACACTTTGGGATCCCAATGACTTGGGAGAAGGCTTGGTAAAGAAAGATTAATCCCAGTTCACATTGGGCTGACTACAAACTTCCACCGAAACCGTAAGGGGCCAATAACAACTATCATCATAACTGCTGGCGATGATGCGAATGCATGGTAATAATTATCAGCATCCCTTATGTTGGGTAAAAACATGCATCATCAAAAACATCATCATTGTCGCTGCTCTTCTTTTTCATATATGCTTTAAGTGTGCCGTTAAACCCGACAAAAAATGCGTAGTCATAATTGTCATAACAACGTGCGCTGTCAGCAAGGGGCCGGCGGCACAGGGCGGCAGCCCTTAAATAACATCGAAACGTTAGGTGGGCCCGATGGGCCCCCTGGTTTTGAGGGTGCGTCAGAGGAAGTTGGGTTGCTTCCAAACTCCAAGCACTGCTAAACCAATTCAAAACCAATTCTCAGCCATCATTTGCTAAAGAGCTATCCAAATCCAAACAAACGTTCAAAGAAGATGTCTTGGAGGGAAGCACTTGATAGGGAATAAGAAAACAAGTTTTAAGGTACACTCCATGCAATTGAAATAGCAGGACAATACCAATATTTCTCCAAATGCTGACCAGTGCTGGCAGTGCTAAGCAATCCTAAACCAATACTAAGCCAAAACCAGTTCTAAAGCAAATCTAAAACCAGGACTAACCAGTGCAAAAATACACTAATCCAATACCAAGCCAATACAACACCAATTTCCAACCAGGACTAGCCATTACGAAGCAATACTAAACCAAAACTAAGCCTGTACCAAACAAAAAGGATTGAAGAAGACCAAAGACCACTGGGGAGGCCGGTTCCGACCCAAATTTGAGGGGCCCTTTGAGGGGAGTAATAATTCCTGCAAATGTCTGGGACCTTTCCAAGTTTTTTTGAGGCCCGAAAGCGTGATGTCTGAAGTGGCCTGGATATGGCAGAGGTTGAGACCGCTCGAGGCTTCGTGAGTTTGAGCCCGCTAAAGCCTGCAAAGGTCCCAAAGAAATGTGAAGCTCAACTTAGACCACAAGCATGTCTGCAAAGGTCCGTCAACCAATCAACTGGACCTACACTTAGACGGAAACACCCGACCTTCCATCAACCTTGCATTTTTAGCATCACCAGTAGTTGTTCTGATAATTATGACGACGCATTCCCTGCATCTCAAACAAGCCACTGCGGGATAAATTCGCGTGACAATAAGCACCTTGTTGAATTTTACAAGAAGTGCCCCGGGTGCGTGGAAACTCGGGCAGCAAACCATGTTGGGGGCCATTTTTTCTTCTCAAGACTTCGATGTATTGCTGTGGATGCGAAGTGTGGACTTTGTGCCATCGCTTCGTCGGAACACCTCGGGATGCAATCAGATGGTGATGGTGATGATGATCATGATGATGATGAACTATGCACCCCCGGCATCACCAGCATGACAATCATGACTACGCATCCCCTGCATCTCAAGTCAGGTCTAACCGCACACTTGAAAGCTATGTGAAAAAGAAGAGCGCCATGGTTTGATGATGAACATGATGATGAAAATGATGATGAACATGATGATGATGATGATGATGAACATGATGAAGAAAATGGTGGTGGTCATCATCATTATCATCATGTTCATCATCATCGTCATTATCATGTTCATCATCATAATCCTCATCATGTTCATCATCATCATCATCATCATCATCATCATCATCATCATCATCATCCATCCCCAGCATCAGCAGCAGTTATCATGAAAATCATGACAACGCATCTTCTGCATTTCCAGTCGTGTCTAACGGCACGCTTGAAACATATCTCAAAAAACAACACCGCCAAGGTTTTGATGAAAATGAATGATGATGATGATGATGATGATGATGATGATGATGATGATGATGAACATGATGATCAAAATGATGATGAAATGATGGACACGATGATGAAGGTCATCATCATCATGTTCATCTCATCATCGTGTTAATTCATCATCAGCATTTGCATCATCATCATCCTAATGATAATCATCACTACGCATCCTCAGCATCACCAGCAGTTAGCGTCATCACTCTGCATCCCCAGCCACGGTTTTGACGATGAACATGATGAGGAATGATGATGATGATGAACATGATGATGATGATGATGATGATGATGAACATGATGATGGTGAAGATGACGATGATGATGATGATCATCCTCATAATCATCACTACGCATCCTCAGCATCACCAGCAGTTAAATTGTCATGACAATCATGACAACGCATCTTCTGCATTTCCAGTCGGGTCTAACGGGACACTTGAAACGTAGATGAAAAAGAAGAGCCACGGTTTTGATGATGAACATGATGAGGAACATGATCATGCCACCATCATCATTTTCATCATCACATCATCATTTTCATCATCATGTTCATCATCATCATCATCATTTTCATCATCATGTTCTTCATCATGTTCGTCATCATCATCATCATCCCGATGACAGTCATCACTATGCATCCCCAGCCTCAGCAGCAATTATCATGACAATCATGACAGCACATCCTCTGCATTTCCAGTCGGGTCTAACGGCAGACTTGAAACGAATGAAAAAGAAGTAATGATGATGATCCGGATGATGTGAAATGATGATAATCATCACTTAGACAAGGACAAAGACAAACCCTTCCCATGCAACTTCCCTTTGGAGAAAGGGGTCGGCGGATTTTTGGGGGTGCTGGGCTCGCATGAGCTGGTGTCAATGCGGGGACTTTTTATTTCGTGCTTACGGCTGTGCTAGGGCCTCAGTCCAAAGCCAACCTTTGACCTGCTTTTTCTGGATTTGTTCCCGGTTTTATCATCCCACAACCTCAAGCAGTCTTCGACCAATTTGATTGAGCAAGTGTTTGAGCCACATGAGGAAGTCCTGCGCGTCACCCTCTAAGTCACCATGCCAAGCAAGGCAATTGTCCAAGATTGAAAGATAGATGCCACATGTTTTGTAATGTTCAGGTTTAGGGTGGATTTGGGTTGGGAGGATGTATGGCTGGCTTCCCTCCCGGCCTTCGCCTGACTCAAAGCCTTCAATGAAATCCGTCGAAGGTCGCATATGTCTCAAATCATTTAGAGGGGATCTCCCCTACGTGTGTGCCAGGCACTGGCAGACGTGCTGGATGAGAGGGTGGAGAGCAAACTTGGTGCGAACGAGAAGGAATTGGCCCCAGCATGGGCTTGACAAGGTTTGCTAGCATCCCAAGACAAGAGTGCTGCTCCAGTCAAGACATCGACTTTCGCGCAAGTGGGATGTTCAATCCTGCGGTGAGGATCGGACAACCACAATTGAGGCAAGCATCGCCATGTTGCGCATTGAGCAACTGTCCAAGGCCTTCTTTGTGGCTTATAAGAGCTTCATGCCCGAGACCCAAGCTACGGCGCCGGAGAACCTCCTGAATAGACAGATACGATTGCGAGATTGCATGGGGTGGAGCGAATAGATCATTTGTTCATTGTGTAACAGCACCCAGGCTTCCAGAGAATTCAATGAGCATCAAGCCAGACTGGAGTTCTGTGAGTTGCGGTGCACAACGTGTTGCGGACAGGCAGCTCGCTTAAGGCAAGTGGCCTGTCATTTTCTAAGTGCCCGGTTCTGCGTTTAATTTGGATTGTCGGTGAACTGCTTTACAACTGTCCACCTGTGAGGGTGATTGCGAGGTCGGTCGCTAAACAACTCTTTAGGTTGTTTGTTTTCCGTACATGTCATGGGGCAAGTCTCTCAGAGGTTCACAGTACAGAAGGAGTTCAAGGAGTTAAAGCAGAAGGCCCGGCATTGGAGCGGTTTCATTCATGAGATGTCTTAGAACCAGAAATAAGGATCCTGCCTTTTGCAAACCAAAAGGGCAATGGGCTTAAGGGACCATTTCGTGACCAGACATGCCATATGGTGTTTGTGGCGAAGGCAGATGAGGAGGAAACAAAGACGAGAAGGGATGCCAAGATCCAGTGCCTGGAGAAGGCGATCGTCCAATTGCACCGCTAGTGGTAGTGATTGCCATGAGGAGCTGGACTGGTTCATGAACGAGGCGCGCATCGGTGAAGTTGCAGAGCAACTGCCGGATGTTTCCCACGAGGCCCTGCGGTTGGACGAGCTCGTCAAGAAATACAAAAAGGACAGGCACTCGCTCCTCAAAAATATTGCGTTGGCTGCTTTTGACTCCAGCTACCAGTTGTTTGAAGGTATTCCACTTTGAAACAGAATCGCCTCAGGTGCTTTGTACTTGAGCTGTTTCACAACGATCTGTCAGGAGTTGGACAAGTGGAAGGGCAAGGCCGATGCTGGGCACCCAGCCGTTTAGCTGATGGCGCATGTTCCATGAGTGGCGCTGAAATTAAGCGTCCCAGAAAAACATGTTTATTTCTGTAAGCTCCTTACCCTTGACTCAATAGAACTAAACTGTACAGTTGGTCGTGGGTGCCGCGCATTTGCAGGGACTCAATAATCGTGAGCCGGGGTGCCCATGCCTCCCGAGGCGCTGGAGGATGACAGGCAGTTCCTAGAGAATCAAATCAAGCAGGCGAAGAGGCCGGCGATTGGCGCCATCAAATGACTTTGCAATGCTGTTTCTTCATCTCGAGACAACAAAGGCAGCCAACCATTTCTGCATAGCGAAAGCTGGCGCAACGCTGTTGAAATGATGTGAAGCGTCAACGCTTTCTGCAAAGTTGGAAGCGAGACAGACAGGCACGCAGTGTGTTTGGTTAACATAATTGTTGAAGCAGTGGCACCCGCATCCATGTAGGGCACCCCAAATTTCCACAGCAACACAGCCCAATCTTCCCACGACTGCTTGGGCAAACAAGTAAGAGGCCTGGATGCTTGACGAGGACAAACAAGTCCTTGCGCAGTGCGGTGGAGCAGGACTGGGCTTGAAAGGGCTGGAAAAGGGTGTCCAGTGCCTATGTCTCTGTATTTTCTTGCCTCCCTGTCTCCGTGCTTCCGTGTTTTTGTGTCGCTTTTTGTCAGCTGGGAATCTGCGAAGCTGCGGGGTAAGCGGTGCTGAAATCATCCACGCAACCCGAAAAGGAGGGGGCAGCTCCCCATTCCGAGACCTTGCTGGTTTGAGATTTGCTTGATGGTCTGCTTATTTGGGAAAATGGGAAAAATAGTTGAGACTTGGGAGACTTTCACATGACGCCCTCAAGAGTCGACTTCTTTTCATCGTGGGCTTTGTGTTTGGCTGGACACTTAAACTGGAGAACGGAAAGCCACTGACACAGAACCGGCAAGCCGCGCGGCCTCGCCTATTGGCTTTTTCCTTATGTCCGGCCGAGTTGGATGCATCGCAGCCGACAGCATCACAAGTTTTGATGAACTTGATCAACATTATCATAAGCTGTTGATCTTGGGTCAAACCCTCGCCCAGGCACAGAGCTCTGCCTACTCCGCACTGGCTGAGAAGCGCGCGGCCGAGCGGTCAGAAAGCTTCGGAGGTTTCACAGGGTTTCCTGACAGGTTTGCTTCATTTCTCTTCTTGGAATCTGTGGCAGTTCATTTTTGTTTGTTTGCAGTGCCTCCCGAGCAAAACAACATTGCACAGCACAGGCAAAGATTCATCCAACATCCCAGTGACATGAGCTCTTGCACTGTCTCTTTCGTGGCTTAGCTTGTGGAAGGGGTAGGGAGCGGGAACAGGGAACAAGGACCGATTCAAAAGCCAACCTGGAGCGACTCAGCAACCAAACACGTGAGCGATTCACAAACAAAGCTGCGCGCTGCAGAAACTATGGTCCACGATTCAGAAACCACTTGATGTGCGATTCATAAACCAACAATGACCGATTCAGAAACCCAAGCCTCTTGATTCAGAAGCCAAAGCAGGCAACATTCAGAAATCACAGCATGCGCGATTGAGAAAGTAACGGTGCGATTTTCAGAAGCTAAGGAGGAGAAGCCCACTGCGGTAGCAGACTCCAATGGCCATGGATCTGTTTCTCAGCCAAAATCTGATGACCTGAAGGGTGACACTGTTGTGGAAATCCCTGGTCAATACAATACATAAGAGTGTGCTGAGTGCGAGCGCAGCGAGGTCTTCTTCTATGGCGATTATGAACTCTATGGTAGAAAAAAGGGGGCTAGAGCCAATAATATGCATACGTGATGCAAGCTGATTGCCCAAAGGTCAATAGTCTGCGAAACACAGAACAAAACAAAACAAACACACATTCTTTCGACCTTTGGCGCCGAGTAATTATATTCTCAAGGCTCTTTGCCGCAGCCATATTTTTCCTATGTGCGTAGCCATTGAGAAATACTCGGATCGATTTCGATCACATCAGAAAGGTCAATCTATTTTGTGGCTCGGACACGTCGGATTGTCTGATATCTACATGATTTGTACAAACTAAGTGCATGAGAAATGGCAAGCAAAAGTTGACACCTAATTATGTCAAAAGACTCTGCGTCTGTGTGGCTGGAAAAAGATTAGGACTGATGTGTCCTTGTGAAACTATCGACTAACTCCCTTCAGGAAAAGATACCGTTTAGACGATGAAGTTGATGGAGCCCAAGATCTTGGTATATGCCTTGGCCTGGTCTGACGAGTTGTTGACCTTCTTGATGCCCAATGGGAGCTTGGTGGGTTAGTTTTCTTGGAGCATGATTTTGCAAGTGTCAATTGGGACCTGTCAACAGACGTAGCTAAAATTGTCAAACTGCTCACGGGCGAAACGCAAACGTGTCTCAAGTGGCTCGGGAGAGTTTCAAGCACAATTGACAATTGACTTGAGGATGGATTGCGTTGACAGTTGGCTTGAACTTGACCACTGGCTTGACAGCTGACAGTTCAACGAGCAAGTGGCATGTTCACTCAAGTGGCGAACCTTGCTACAATTGAGGCCACTTGTGAACGGATGGTAGCGCGAGGTCTGAGGCGCGGGCGGCTCAAGCCCTTGGTCTGTTCAAGGCGATCGCGTGGAGAGCCTTGCCGATCATTCGCGAAGGGGCGGCGTGCAGGTTGATGTTGTTGATGGCAAGCCATTGAATTTTGACGCTTCCGAATTTACAAGTGGCCATTGTGGACAAGTCGTGTGTTGTGTTCGTGAAGTGGCACGGGGAGTCGCAGAGAATGAGCGCAGTGGTGAGCCTATCCCTTCCAGAAAGCTAGCCGCAAGCCAGCTAGAGTAGTCAGGAACAATTTTGCAAAATTCCATTCTGCACGCTTCATTTTGTAAGATCCCAGTCAACGCAAGAGTCCCAGTCGAAGCCCAGACGCCCTGCTCCTCCTGCTGATCGTGGCGAGCCCGCGTTGCTTTCTCTACCTTGCAAGCAAGGCGCCATCAGGCCCAAACGGTGCCACCGTCCAGCGTGGCGATGACCGCGTCGCGTGGACATGGAGGATGCCGCAAAGTTTTGTTTGGCAGCCAGCTTGCTTGACCAGCGCTCGGTGGGGGTGTCGGCGCCCGCGTGGTGCAGATCCGCTGCTGGTCCACTTTGTTTGGGACAAGCTCTTCCGGGTGGAAAACGACTTGGAACTCAGCAGGCCAAAGACGCAGAACTAGGTGATGCTCAAAAGCAACGGAAGATAGTAACTCTTTGGTCTCGACTTGGAATCTTTTAGCGCTTCTTTGGTTGAAAATCTCTGTGTGTGTGAAATCGAACAAGTTTTGCTTGTGCCAGGCGCGAGCAGTGCTCTCCTCTTGGACACATGAGCTGTATGGAGTTCCTTGGTAGTTGGCGTGGTTGACCTGTCCGATGGTCTCGGTTGTCTCTGCTGCCGGCGCTGGTGCTCAAACACTGGGTTTCTTTGGTGATGCCTCGTCTGGAAAGGCAGTGGCTGGCAGCGATGGATGTGCGTAGAGTATGATCTTGGTTTTCGATTCCCTTGGTTGCAAGCGCGTGACCGCTATTGGACACTTGCGCGGGTTGCTGAATCATCCCGAACGCCTTGCTTGTGATTTTGTCACATTGAGGAGTGCGGGTGAGATTTCGCATCTGATCAATACTCAACAGAGCCGGAACTTGTCCTTGTTCAAGAATGTCAGTGCACGTCAGCATAGGTGGTTTGGTGGTATAGAACAGTTTGGTTTTATAGAACAGTCGGGAGTCCAGTCAACCTTAGAGGTTTGACCATTGGCGAAGGTGAACCTGGTTCTGCGCGGGATGTACTCGTACTTCATCCGCGCAGGATATGGTGCAGTCGCCTTACTACATTTCCCCACTGCAAGCCAACTGCCCATGTGCTCTGTGCAAAGGTTGTCGAGGATGACATGGGTTGGATTATCGGCCTGCTTGATGAGTGTTGCCTGCGGAATCATGCCGGCCAAGCCATTGTGGGTGACCGTACTTCTGCAAGCGTCAACTTTTCCTGTTGAGTCTGCGAGATATGCCATCGGTGCGGCTCATGCAAAAAGAGTTGCTGTTCCATTCTGTCGCCCGCCATGCGCTGGAGCTCCAATCGTCCGGGCAAGGCTCTGCCGATATGTCGGCAGGGGGCTGTGTGGCTTCCTGCGCATAGGCGCTGTAATCCACGGCAAGGGTCTTGGCTTTGCCTTTGCCTTTGTCGTCGTTCTTGCCGGGGTCTTTTCCTTTGTCCTTGTGGTTTGTTCCAGTGTTTTCCTTTTCGTTTCTGGTTTCGGGGGTGGAGTCATTGGCCTTGTGGTTTCCTGAAAGGTTGCCCCTTCGCTTGCCCTTACCTTTACCCTTGCTAGACTTGAGAGTCCGACGCTGAAATCTTTTTAGGGCAAAAGCATGGTCGTTCCTCATCGTCGAGTGGACAAAATCCTTCTTCACCTTCATCATCTTCTTCCCAGAGCCTTTCTTCTCCTTCGTAGTCACCTGGTTCAAGGATGTAGAAGGTTTTGGATCGGTTGCGCCCGTTCAGAGGAGAGATGTTCTGTTCTGGATGAAGGTTGTCGCGCGCGGTCTTTACGATGTTGTATGTGCACTCAGGAAGTTGGAAGACACCTGCAAAAGCCTGTGTGTGCTGTTGTCTTCTTCCTTGACCTGGTGTTCGCCCGATCTGCTGAGCCCAGGAAGACTGGCTCGGGTGCTATGGGTACTGTGGCGGTTTTCGGCAGTCCCTGGAGAAGGGTTGCTATGTCATTGGCCCTTTCATTGTGTTGGTCGCGTTTTTTTTCTGATTGGCGCGGTTGATGGCCTGAATGTATTCAGGGCTTGTTCGTGTGAATTCTGGTACTGTGCTTTCAGGCTCGTAGTCTTCTAAGAAGAATCTCGCAGTTGCTTGTGTTGTTCACGATTTCATTGTTTCCTCTCTGGTGGTTGAGAAATCAGTAAAGGCATGCGTTCCGGGTGTTCTTTGAGAAGTAGCCGCGTAGGAATGTAAAAAAAATCCTAGCCCATTGTCCGGATCAACAAGCCTTTCATTCTCCGACAGCTCGCGGTGCGCGAGGGCGTCGTCTGTGAGCCTGTTCTTCAACAACGGACCTCGCCGCTGCGGCTCGATGGCCGTGAATGCAACCCAGTCTCTTGCCTGATCTTCGCGCCGAAACCAATTAACGCGGGCGTCGTATTGCGGAGGCACTTCTGCGTTCTTTGATATGTTGGTAGTTTCTTCGTAGGACACATGTCCGCCCTTACGAAAGCTCGAAAAAGTCGCGGCGGACCATCTGCTCCACTTGACAGCCTTTTTTCGGAAAACCTCCAGTCAAAGGATCTATTCTGACGAAGAATGAACATGTAGGGAAGGGGTAGATGACCAAATATGTAAGAAGGCAGTGTTTTTTGGTTTACCTGTAAGCCAAGAATGATCACCACCAATCAGCAAGTGGAAGCAGCTTTTTCCTCGGAAAGTGCTATCATTTGGGCTTGAGCCAAGTAGATGGCAGCGAGGGCTGCTCATGAGTGGAATTCTCCAGCCCGCGTTTGATGGTTTCTTTGTTTGATTGTGTGGCTCAGCCTGCTGACCCGGTTCTTTCGTTCATTGCTGAGACTGTGTTGCTTTCTGCCCGTTTTCCACTGGAATTTTCTGCTTTGGAATCTTACGTTGAATTGCGGTGGTCTTGGTTGGCAGGTCGTGCGCTTTGTGGGCTAGTTTGTATTGGTTGAGAACTGCGAATGAATTCCTAAATCTCATGGCTCTGGTTTTCGCATCAACCTTTTTGGTTTCCGAATCATTCTTGGTTTGTGAAGCAGACCTTTTGTTTCGTTGGTGCCCGAGTCATGTTTTGAAACATTCTTGGTTTCTGAATCAACCCCCTTGGGCCCTTGGTACCCACCATTTTGGTTTCTGCAGCAAACCTTGACCGGGAACAGGCGTTTCATGAAAAAGGGTTTCATCCCACCCTGCGTTCGTACGTGCTTCCCAATAAAGAAGAGGGGCGGGGCGCACCCCTTTCCTTTCCTTGCGTTCCTTTCGTATTTTTTCCTAGCATCCAAATTCAGAGTTTGGAGAAGATAGCGGGAGCAGGAATGAAAGAGGAAAGGATAGACGGCGAATTCATGACCAGAGAATCCGTTTCTCGTTCCCACCCCCACCTTGCCAGGTCCAGTTAATAATACGGCTGGATTTGGGGATGGAGTGAGGGGGTGAAAGGAATTGCATTTCTACAGCCGACCTAGCACACAACTCACCCGCCTTTGCCCGCTACAGTCACAGCTGTTTTGGCTTGCGGCCGGTGGAAACTATTGGGGAAGGCTTGTGGGACAGGGAACGCAGAGGAGCGAAACCGCTGAGCCTGTTTTTGGCCACGGTTCGAAAACATTCCAAGGGAGCGCGTGCAATTCTCACGCAGCGCTTGTCCAAGGCAGTCCTCCCAAGCGCAGGACGCGAGCCGACGGGTTTCCCAAATATCAGTCTGTCCAGACTTTGTTTAAAAAAAAATTGGTGGTCAGATGTTGGCAGCCGATTTCAAGCCATGGCTGATCGTGAAGCACAGTCTTGTCGCCTGAAGGACCGCCCAACCGAGGATGAGCCCACGCAGTGTGCCGACCTTTGGAGGGGGGCAGGAAGCAGGCTACATACAGCCCAGCGGGTGAGAGCTTTGTGCCCCGCACTCCTTCTTGAACAACTGCATGTGCTACAGAGCTGGATGGTTGACCTCTTGTTGACCCAGAGTCCAGCTGCCACAGGAACTCGGAGGGATGCTTCGTCAAAACTCTAGACAATTTGGGCTTCGAGGGATGAGGCCAAAGCCAAGCAACTGACAAGAAAAGAGGCTCCCAACCCAGGCAGCCGCCAACCGAAGCCCTGAGGCACCGCTTATAGCGGCCTGTCGCAGGCTCGTTGGTCAAGTGGCAACGGCTGCGTGATTTACCTTCGGCGCCACAAAGGTTGCACGCGTAGGGGAGTTTCAAGACACCCCTTGGCATGTTTCTTTCCTTGTCGCGTCGTGGATCGGGCGTTCGTTGTTTACTGAGCTCGCTGCGCTGAACCTTGACTCAGGGTGGGTGTGACCCCAAGAAAAGTTTTGAAATGACAGCCTCGCTAAGATGGGGCGGGCTTGTCTCAGAACCGAGTTCTTTTTGAAGGAACTGGAAGAGAAGTACCAGGCCACCGTGAAGCCCGGTGCCCGGAGTGGATTGATCTTCCAGATTCAGATAGGGAGAAGCGCTGGAGTAGCGGCGTGTCTGGCGTATGGTCTCGCTGGGATTTCTTTGGTTGCCGGATTCTTTTTATTGCCCAGGCGGCTGAAACAGCAGCTGGTGCAAGAGCAGAAGCAAGCGGCCAAGGCGAGCAAAGCAACTCTATCGTTTTGCTGCCCACAGTCAGACCTGTCTTGGTGCTGCGTTGTATTTTGGGCGCTTGGTCTGCGCGCGAGCAATCTTTGCCGAAGTTGCCACATTGCTCGACCCAAAATGCCCATTGCCAGTTGCGGGCTGTCGCAGATCGGCAGTTTTCGGAACCTTCAGAGCTGGAGGCGCGACGTGTTTGACGCTTTGGTGCTTTCGGTTGTCTATTTTGTTTTGGCGTCTCAAGTATTTCCAAGAGGTCGTGTGCAGAGACGTTGGCGTGTTCTGGGACAGTGTGGCTGCAGAGTGTCAGGCCTTTTTCGTTGACTGTGTGGAGAAGGCCATCCGGTGTGGCGGATCATGACGCGTTGAGGTACCGCTCTTTCCACATCCTAGATTGTGTTGCGTTGTTTCAATCGTTCATCCAAGTAAGTTAGAAGGAGTTGACGTGGTACGGCAACTGGTTGAAAGCTAGCTCTCTGACAAAAGGCAAGAGAATTAAGGTCGTGGTTCCTTGGGACGGTCGTTGGCCTGATCGCGACGCCTGGTCGGAGCACCTTCGGGGCACGTTCGCGTTCGAACGCTCTCGGAGCCGGGCCCATTGGCGCAGACGATCGCGCTTTTCGTGACATCAGTTTGCGTGGCAGGCGCAGCCCTGTTGCAAGCTGATGTCAAAGTGCCTGAGCAAAGCAGGCGTAAGACCCGACGAATCCTTACCTGCATACTGAGGTTCATGGATGGCGTTGAGGCCAGCTCGCCCCAACTTGCCCCACTAGATAGATGGGTTGATGGACAGATAGATAGACACAGGCGCAATTAGGTGGATCGATAGATAGATGGCAAGATAGACCATAGATAGAAAGATAGATAGTTTAGTTGGTTTTAGGAAGATATGACAGACAAAGATAGATAGATAGACAGATAGATAGATAGATAGATTGCTTGATTGGGTAAATGAACAGGTAGAGGGATAGAGTGCACAGAGATTGGACGGATGGATGGATGGACGGAAGGATGGATGCATAACTACAGACAGGTTAGCCACGTGGATTGGATGTGATGTTGCGGGGATGGATCACTCAATCAACAGACGCAGGCGCAGAGCTTTTGCAATTTGATTTACTCAGCGGTGTTGACGCTGCTGCAGTCATGGCAGTGACGCCGCTGGCCAAGTGCGCCAAGGTGAAAGAAGCTCTGGCGTCCCCGGGCTTCAGAGCGCGACAGCGCCTAGCTTCCACAGCGCGCTGTCTCAGGTAGCGGCGGTGTTCAGAGCGCGACAGCGCCTGACCCATTTCACCGCCTGCTGGGCCAGGAAAGGCAAACGCACCCTCAAAAAGGCCGCGTGAAAAGAAGCAGAGCGTTTCCGCGTTGACTTGCTGCCAAATGGAAAGGGAACGTGCAGACCGACATATAGGTAGATAGAGGGACAGATAGATAGACAGCTAGATACAGAGAGAAAGAGAGACATCTCGATCTAGGAAGGAAGTAGAATGACAGGTAGATAGATGCACAGATAGATAGACGGCAAGATGGACAGAGAAAGAGAAAAAGAGAAAGAGAAAGAGAAAGAAAGGGAGAGCAAGAGAGAAAGGAAAGAAAGAAAGAGAGAGAAAGAGAGAAAGGAAAGAAAGAAAGAAAGAAGTAAACAAATAATTAAAGGAAAAAAGAAAGAAAGAAAGCAAGCAAACAAGCAAGCAAGAAAGAAAGGAAGAGAAAAGGAAAAAAAAGGAAAGAAGGGAAAGAAAGAAAGAAAATAAGGAAGAAAGGAAGAACGGACGGACGGACGGACGGACGGAAGGAAGGAAGGGAGGGAGGAAGGAAGGAAGGAAGGAAGGAAGGAAGGCAGGAAAGAAGGAAAGAAGGAAAGAAGGAAAAGAAAGAAGGAAAGAAAGGAAGGAAGGAAGGGAAGGGAAGGGAAGGGAGGGAGGGAGGGAGGGAGGAAAGAAAGAAAGAAAGAAAGAAAGAAAAGAAAGAAAGAACGAAAGAAAGAAAGAAAGAAACAGGAAAGAAAGAAAGGAAAGAAGGGAAAGAAACAAAGTAAGAAAGAAAGGAAGAAAGGAAGGACGGAAGGAAGGAGGGAAGAAAGAAAGAAAGAAAGCGAGAAGGGAAGAGAGAAGGAAAGGCAGAAAGAAAGAAGAAGAGACTGCAAGACAGGAAGAAGGAAGAAACAAAGAAACAAAGAGAAGAAGGAAAGACAGGAGGGACGAAGAGAAAGCAGGGAGAGAAGAAGAAGTAACAAAAGACAGATGCAAAACAAAAACAATCGAGGAAAAGAAGAAAGAACGACAACAACAAAGTGTGAGGAAGAGAAAGTCGAGAAACAGAAAGAAAATAATGCGACAGAGAACTTTATCTCTTCCGGTGAAACCGACACGCTTACCGTGCAGCAAGACACGCGAGGAGATGCAGAGCGAGACGCGCGAGAGCCTGTGGGCAGCAAGAGAGCGCGCGCAAAGCGAGACGTGCGAGAGCCCACTCGTAGCGAGAGACGCAAGAACGCACGTCGAGAGCGCGCAGAGAAAGATGCACGAGAGCCGGCGCCTCGCTAGTGAATTATTCCTATGAATCCGCTTGTGTAAAGTGGCAGGGCGGGCTCGGAGCGTGGCCGTCATAGGTAGTGTGCAACACCAGTTTTCTTGACTCCGCAAGGGTCCTCACCCCTCGCAGAACCACTTTCAAGGGCCTACACAGCCTCCTCATCATGTCACGGGCTTTAAAGGGGTTGGAAACTTGGACCCTTGAAGCTTGGAGGGCCCGACCAGCTTGAAACTGTTTGCGGAGAGACACGCATGGCAGAAAGGCTCGCGGCATTGCTGGCTGAAGCCACGCCGTCTTCTTTTCTTTCAAGCTGCGGCCCCTCTCTAGGTGATGACTCTTGGGGAAAACCATCAATCCAAAGTCCAAACTCAAATCAACAAGTCTTTGAACAACATTTGATCTCTTTCCGTGGGGGCACGTGTAGTTTTTGGTTTGCAAGTTTCAGTGTCATCTGTTGGAAAGGTCCCCACAAGTGCTGGTGCAAATAAGGTCTGTCCTGCGGTTGCTTCCGTTTTTCTTTTGCGGGCTCTTTCCTCCGGAAAGGTCCCCGAAGGACAGGGGTGGGGCCTTTGGTTTGCCTTCGTTTGTTCATGTTGCCCCTAGCTGGGATGCCTTCATTTTTTCAATTTCCGTTTTTTTGGAAGGTCTCCACAAGGGAGGGCTGGCGATGCCACCGGTGCAATCAAGCTCTGTCCTTTTGACGTTCCTTGTCCTGATTCTTGCGTGCGTTCTTTCGTTCCAACGGCCCCCGCAGAACTAAAGTAGTTTGCCCCGTTTGTTCATGTTGCTGGGGATACTGCTTGTTTGCAGTTTCGTTTGTCTGGTGATGCTGGTGGTGCTGAGCTGGAGATGCTGAGGATGTGAAAACGTTGCTGAGGGTGGGAACCACTCCGTGGTACAAGCCCCCCGCCCCCCCCAAGATCAGATGCGTTTGTTGTACATATCCAGCAAGCAGTCTGTCGTCGGCATTCCTTAGCTCCTCCTGGTATTTTGGGAGGGTTTTGTGTTTGATAGGCGGCCCAAGCCTCCGAAGCAGTTGCGCCTTCTTGAACCAAGACTGCACGACGACACCAGGTTCCAATGAACGGGAACTTGAAGCCGCCAAGTGACCCGTCACATCTAGCACAAGGAGCATCAATGCAGGGTGCAAATTGAAGGTGGGGTATCTCCCCACTGTCTGCCACAGGCAAGGGCGGTTGCGCGAAAGGGGCGCGCAACACTTCCACGGCCGAAAGCCAGAGCAGCCGGGCCTGGCCGTGATGCCCCTGCTGCAGCAAATAGTCCACATGGCGCTTGAAGTCGAGGTAGGCGCCTGTGGATAAGATAGGACGATCCGTGTGAACGGCCAAGTTAACTCCTGGAACTGCCAACATTCGACAAGTAACCCTTGCCGAACCCGCAAAAAACCAGAAGTCAAAAATAGCCAGTTTGTTTGCAAAAGACCGAACCGCATCAAGCCTGTACGTTCTTTCTTCTCCAGTTTTGATTAGTTTGCAGAGCTTGCTCCGTGGTGGCAAGGTGCGCCAGCCGAAGTGAGAAGCAACTTTGCAACATGAGGATCACGCGCCGAGTGCCGAAACTGAATAATTGCTACAGTCAACAACTTTAGTCGCACCAATGTTGAGGGAGCCTTTGAGTTACGTGGGGGAAGGTGCTCTGGGAGGTCGCGTCAAATTCTGTTTTTCAATTGTGTTTTGCAGCATGCTTCGTGCAATGTTGCGGCATTGGCCTTGGTTTGTTCCATGCGGGTCGCAAGGTGGCCAAGTGTGATGTGTCGGTGTTGTGAGAAACGACGGAGCAGCGTGGGCTTGTGCTGCTTTACTGGAAACATATCGCTTGACTGGGAAGTGTTGCTTCTGCTCCTCCTGCTTGCTGCTGCTCCTCTCCTCTTGCTCCTGCTTTTGCTGCTGCAGCCTCTGCTGCTTCTTCTCCTGCTCATTCTGCTCCTCTTGCCCCCGCTCCGATTGCTTTTTTGCTGCTGCTCCTCCTTGTGCTTCTCCTGCTGCTCCTGCTCCTGCTCCTGCTCGGCGCGCACGATCCCCGCAGAGGGTTCGCCCAACATGTCGCAAGTTCACACGGCGCCACAGCGAGAGCGCTTTGACACTTACGGCCCCCGCAAAAGGTTCATCGAGCGCATTCGCACATTCGCACGGCGCCACACGGCGCGATCCTCGCAGAGGGTTCGTAGGGCTTGCTGCAACAGTTGGATCGGTTTGTTCCATGCAGGACGGGTGTGACAGGGCTTGCTGCAACAGTTGCTTGTGTTTGGAGAGAAGGTGTTGACCCCTGACGCCTGCGCATTTTGCAGCATGCGCTGTTCAAACGCGCGTCGCCGCGGCTTTTCCTGATGCAACTATCCTGCGTTCCGCGTTGTAGAGCAAGGGTTGATGCGCGCTGCTGTGACCCCGTCGCATCACCTTCTTCCCATAGGCGCGTAACATGTCACCAAAAGTTGATGCGACGCAAGTTTCTCCTTGATTTGGTTTCAAGAACGGGCAAAGACCAGGAGAATCCATGCCGGCCATCGATCGATGATCGACGACAGTACCCTACAGTTGTGCGTATTGCGTGTTGAAAGAGGCCCTCCCAGAGACCCTCCCTGGCCAGGCGAAAGCTGACATCACGGAACGGCGGAAAGCCGCCTTGGAGCAGAGCCGGGCTTTGCGCAGCGAGGCGAACGGGGGCAATCCAGCCCTGACGTCTTGGCGCCCTTCACAGCGCCTGATGTACCTCCAGCCTTTCGCCAGGCAAAGTCCCGCGGCTACCCTGAGACAAAGTTGGTGCCCAGCCTAGTACCTTTCAGCCGCTGTGGCCAGACTAGGCCAACAGAAAAGGCTTGCAGACTGGTTAGTGTGGTTAGTGTCTTGAAATTTTGATTCAAAGGCGAGCCGTCGGGTATGAAAGGAAAGCGGTACGGGGATTGTCATTGGAGGCTCAAACGCCGACGCTCGATGACTTCACAGTCACTGATCGGCGCAAGGCTGGCCCCGCCGAAGAGACTTTTCCCAAACAATATTTTCTGTTGGGGTGCTTACTCTTCTAAAACAGAACGGGCCGCGCGCTGCCAGATCGCGCCGGGCCGCATGCTCGCCAGTGTACGCATTTACTTGTCTCCCAGTAAAAAATGTGCCTTCATGTGTCTCCCGGTGCTGCCACACGCTCCCCAGTGTGCGCATTTACTTGTCTCCCAGGATGTGCCTTCATTTGTTTCTCAGTGCTGCTGGAGCATGTGCCTTCATTTGTGTCCCAGTGCTGCCAGCCGGGCCGAGCGCTTGCCAGTGTACACGCTTACTTGTCTTCCAGTAAGTTCCTCGGGCCGAACGCTTGCCGGTGTGCGCATGTACTTGTTTCCCCACATACTTGTTTCCCAGCGCGTGCCTTTTTTGTTTTGTCCCGCTGCAAGATCGCTGGGCCGCATGCTCGCCAGTGCTCGCATTTGCTTGTCTCCCGGCGCGTGCCATCATTTGTCCCCCAGCGCTGCCTAACCGACGGGCCTCACGCTCGCCATATCCGCGTCTGCCGTCGGCGCACAAGAGTGTTCTTCGCATAAGCGTATCCATTGTCGGCGCATAAAAGTGTGTTTGTTGGTGCACAAGCTTGCGCACTGTCGGCGCGCAAGAGTGTTCCTTGTTGGTGCACAAGCGTGCCCGCCGCCGGCGCGCAAGAGTGTAGCGTGTTCACCCTCGGCGCGTAAACGTGTTCAGTTGGCGCAGAAGCGTTTCCACGGTCGGCGCGCAACAGTGTCTGTTGTCGGCGCACAAGTGTGTTCACTGATCGTATCCAGTGTCGGCGCGCGGGCGTGTTCCCTGTTGGCGCCCAAGCGTTTTCACTGTCGCCGCAGGAGGGTTTTCCCCGTTGGCGCATCATCGCACCCCGTGTCGGCGCACACAAGTGTTCGTTGTTGGTGCACAAGCACGCGCACCGTCGGCGCGCAAGAGTGTTCCTTGTTGGCTCGTAAGCGTGTCCGTTGTCCGCGCATAAAAGTCTTCGTTGTCGGCGCACACACGGTTTGCGCGCAAAAGGTGTCATGGTTGACGAGAAAGCGTGCTCATTCGCGAAAAAAGTGTTCACTATCGGCGCGCAAAAGTGTCCGTACTTGGCTCATCGCGTTCTTGGCGCGTAAAAGTGTTCTTTGCTGGCGCGTGCGCAGCGTGCTGGCCAGGCTAGCGCGTGAATGAGTTTGCAGCGTTTGCGGCGCTCAAGGTACTTCGTGTTTGCTTGTTGTGCGACGGTCTTCTTCATGTTACCAGCCCAGCAACAGCTTTCTTCACTGTGGCTTTTGCAGGGATACGAGCCCTTGTGGACTCACCGAACGAGCGCTGTAGAAGCTGAGCTAATCGAAGTGTACGGGGAAGCGACAGCTTTCACGGCCCGCGTCTTTCCCGGGATAGACGCTTTCGAGACAGCGCGCGCGCTGTCGGGGCGCAAGAGTGTTCCTTGTTGGCGCATCATCGTATCCATTGTCGGCGCATCATTGCGTGTGCCAACATTCTTCTTGCCCTGCCCGGCGCCGAGCTGGCCTCCACAGGAATAGCGAAAGCCCCCGGGGGCGCCCAGGGCTTCTGAAAGGGTGGGGTGGCCCGAAATCATTTTCCATGACACGCAGCCCGAATCGGCCCATTTTGCCAGCTATGCATTTCACTGTCTACTCTTTGCACGCATGTTTGCACTTCACTCTGTACTTGCCCTGCGCATGCCTCCATGCAGTTCACCGTCTACTTCCTCTGTGCGTGCCTTTATGCATCTCACTGTCTACTTTCCCTGTGCCTCTACGCATTTCACTGTCTACTTTCCCTGTGCATGCGTTTGCGCACTTCACTCTGTACTTGCCCTATGCATGCCTCTACGCAGTTCACTGTTTACTCTGTGCGTGCCTCTACGCATCTCACTCTCTGCGCATGCATCCATGCACTTCTCTGTGCCCTGTGCGTGCCTGTGTGCGTCTCACTGTCTACTTTGCGCACTTCACTCTGCACTTGCCCTGCGCATGCCTGTGTGCATTTCACTGTCGACTCTGTGCATGCCTCTATGCAGTTCACTGTCTACTTTCCTTGTGCATGCGTCTATGCACTTGCCTCAGTACTTGCCCTACGCATGCCTCTATGCATGTCACTGCCTCTACGCGCTTCACTCTGTGCTTGGCCTGCGCATGCTATGCATTTGCTCTTTGCATGCCTCTATGCGTTGCACTGTCTACTTGCCCTGCGCATACCTCTATGCGTTTCACTGTGTGCTTTCTCCTCGCATGCCTCCATGCATTTCACTGTCTACTTTCCGATTTTGTAGCCGGAGCTGGGGGACGTACTTCGCGTACCATCGTATCCAGTGTCGGCGCGCGCAGGTGTTCCATGTTGGTGCGTAAGCGTGTTCACTGTCGACGCACAAGAGTGTTCCTTGCTGGTGCATAAGCGTGTTTACCGTCGGCTCATGCAAGTTTCTCTCCTCGGCACGCAAAAGTGTCCTCTGTTGGCGCACAAGCGTATCCATTGTCGGCGCACCTTGTTGGCGCACAAGCGCACCCACTGTCGGCGCCCTAAAGTGTTCCTCGTTGGCGCAAAAGCGTGTCCCCTTTCCGCTGGTCCTTGATGGCGCAGACGCGTGTCCACCGTCGGCGGTTGCCGCACAAGCGTTTCTATCCTCGGCAAAAGTGCCCTGTGTTGGCGCACAAGCGTATCAATTGTCGGCGCACGCAGGTGCTCCTTGTTGGCGCGCAAGCGTGTCCACTGTCGGCGCGCAAGAGTATTTCTTGCGGGCGCACAAGTGTGCCCACCGTCGGCGCACGGGAGTGTTCCTTGTTGGCGCATCATCGTAGCCAGCGTCGGCGCGCGCAGTGTTTCCCGTTGGCGCGCAAGCATGTTCACTGTCGCCCCGCAAGAGTGTTCCAAGACCCGCGAGGTGCATCATTGTGTTTTTACACCCCCAGACGCTGGGCGACGCGCAGCAAAGATTCTCTTTAGAAAAGGGATCTGAGCGCCCTTGGCCCGTTTGGGGCCGAGGCGAATTATAGCCCTGCGCCATTCGTGTCTCCCGTATCTCGCTTTCTCCCTTTCTGCAGCGCGTGCCTTTTGACGTGCTTGGAGCCCTCGTGCTGCCGCACCATGAGAGCTGAGAGCCTCTGAGCCCAGGACGCACATGCGCTGTCACATTGCGCGATAGCCATGTCTCATTGTGCGTTGCTTCAAACGAATTCGGAAATTGGTCTTGGAGTCTTTCGTTCAACTCGCCAGACTTCAGTGATTCAGGGTCTCGGCATGGCAGGTGGTCGAGCTGCTCCTGAGCAGTGAGCATGTGCTCCAGTGCCGTTGGCTTGTTTAGGCTCAGATTCGAACAGCTGAGCCCTACAGAAACGGGCCGGTTTCAGGATCTGTGTTTGTTTTCGGGAATGCCCTGGTGGTATGTTTCCCATTGCTGACATGTTTTGATCTTGACGCAGCCTTTGTCCCATTTTTGCCAGACTGTGCCAAAGGACTTCCAGTGCTCGTGCTATCTGGTTCTCTCCAATGGGGCTCTGCCAGTGTCCGATATCACCACTTGATGGGCCGCCATGAGGGCTAATAACGTGCCTCATCTTGAGTGATTTATGTGGCTGGCAGTACGCGCACCGCCTAGCAGAGTCAGCAGAGTCAGCAGGGTCAGCAGGGTCAGCAGAGTCAGCAGAGTCAGCAGAGTCAGCAGAGTCAGCAGAGTCAGCAGAGTCAGCAGTTTGCGAGTTGTATGTTGCATTCGAATCATTGTAGACAGACTGTTTGTCCAATGCCTGCGCAGCAGGTTTCTGTACGACAAGCTCTTCCCAGTGAGATCCTTGGGCTGAGGTGTTGAACCTCTGGCGTTTTAGGGATCAAGACATGGCTATTGGGGTTTTGCTATCGCTTTTGCGATTGTGCGCATTTTGGGCATCGCTATTGTATTCTTGCCTCCGTTTTGCGAACGGTCTGTGTGCGCTTTCCCGGCCCGACATTTTCTCGATCGCCGAGGAAGCCTCGGCTTGCTAAGTGTCTGAGCTCCTTCGGAGCGAGATATGCGCATCTGCGACTGCCGAATTCACATCCCGATGCAGACATGTAAACTCGGATCCGATTCGCTTCTTTTGGTATAAACAATTCCCCTAAGCCCCAAAAGCATGGCATGAATCTGTGCTTAGTTCGTTTCACCGTGGGCAGTTGCTCTCGTTTCACGTCGCTGGAAGTACAAACATTTCGCTGCTTGTGTTGCGAGCCGTGGAGGCCTCTCAAACATATGGGCTGTGAAAGATTAGTCAACGATCAACTTGAGGCCTCGGCAAACTCAGTTGACTACGTCGCAAGCATGCCAACTGCATTCTCTTGCAATTTGCCGTGCGAGCTGCCTATGCTTGTGAGATTTGTCGCCCAAGACACACGGATTCCGCGCAATGGCCAGAGAGATTAAACATAAGGCGGACTACGATGAGGCGATCAACGGGGACCGACGCCTGGCAATGATGAAAGTGTTCCGCAATTCAATTGGTGACCAAGTCTACTTGCAGTGTGTGTGTGTGCGTTCATTGTGGACAGACTTGTCGCCGGGACACGGTTTCTGTCTCTCCTTCGCGTCGCGACATTGCCTGGTTGGCCTCAAGGCCCGGTGGTGATCCTCTTCACTGCTTCCTGGTGACCTCCCTGCAGGACATTCTCGCCTGAGTATGAGAAGTTGTCTGGGACCTCAGATTCACTTCTTTGCGACTCGGCAGAATGTCTGGGGCAGAAAATATTCAAATCGAACTGTGGCAAGGCCTTCTCATAGCGTGCGAGGAATAGGTCAGTTGCAGAAGTTGTAGGTTTGCAAGGAACAAGCATGCCGCATGCAATCTCCGAGTAACTGAACACGAGCTTGGCCTGGAATAGCTCGAGCGTGGATTTTGACTGGTTGTATTCTTTGTTGCATGGTCCCAAGTAGAAGCTCATATTCCGTTCCTAATCAGCACCTCCGCAGTTCGCTGCATTGTTTCTCATTGAGGCAAGGTTGATGTTGACAACTCAGACGTCGCTTGGCTGTACTGGCAACTGCTTTGCCTTTTCACGACCCTTTGACGCTCACAAAAGGCTCTGTTCCCAGGCGGCGGACATCTGCCAGAAGCACGACGTATCGTGTATGCCAACATTGGTCCACATCAAGGCAAGGTTCACCAAGCTGAGGTTCAAGCTGAGGGCGGTAAAGGAGCCTGAAGTGCCAGGGCAAGACGCAGGTAGACAAGATGGAGGGCGTGAACAAGGGAAAACTTGCCGAGTGGGGGGTGAAATAATGGCGAGCTGCAACACAAGTTGCAACAAGGGGGTCTTACAACGAGATGTCATTCGAAGTTACTTTGGTAGAGTGAACCCGTGATTTAACCCCCCTGCATCACCAGCTCGAATGCTGCAAAGATGACTTTAAAGCACCATGGAAACCATGTGGCTTCAGCCGATACAGAATCCGGATGGCAGAACTGTTCAACATGTGTGCAGTGAGTTTGCGAGTTTGGTTCCAGCCTCTCACCTGCAAGCTCCAATGCCTTTGCTGATGATAGCGATGGCGCAAGCATGCCAAGCCATGCCTGATGGAGATGTTCAGTTACATAATCCCCTGGACGATTACATTGGTAATGTTCAGTTTGCTTCTTCATAAACACTTACTATGTTTGCGCCCATGTGACAGCAGCTTGAATGCAGAGGCGGGGCAGAGGCTGTGCAAAGAGCTTTGTATTGCTGCGCGTTGGTTTTCAAAAATTGGCTGCGAACAGGGTTCTAGGTTGAGCAGTCAGGACTTGGTCTCAGAGTCACATGTGCTCACCTTTTGGCCCAAGTGACTGAGGCGAGGTGTGAAGCAGTGTGAATGTGAAGGCAGTGTGAAGGCAGATGGATACCCATGAAGCAAGAGCTTTCCATTCAAGTTCATGTGTCAAGAGCATTTCGTTCATGTCTGTTGATGTCATCCGTGCTTCCAGAGCATTTCTTTCATTTCGCTTCTCTCGTTTCTTTCCTTTAGCTTTTTTTTTCCTTCTCTTTTCTCGTCGAAAGTGAATCTTTTCTCTTTTCTCCTTTGAGCCTTCGGATCGGTCCTTCGGTCCTTCGGTCCTTCGGTCCTTCAGCTTCATGTTCGCCTGGCGGGGACCCCAGTGGGAGAAGAGATGGGAGCCGTGGCGGAGCCAAGGAGCCAAGGAGCCAAGGATCCCAACATGTTGGATGTTAGTTTCTGTTTGATAGATGTTCGAATGTTTCTAGTAGATTGAAGGAATCTGAGGTTCGAGGGGCTTGCCAGTGATCCAGCGGGCAAACTGAGCAATTGAATCAATTTGACCAACTGGGTAACTGGATGATGTGTGTTAGCGCCTCAAGGTAAAATGGTTGCTAGTGCTAACTTCTGTGCAAGGGAAGACAAAAGTCATTGTCCGATGGACACATGACTCATGAGCACCCCAGACATCTTGCCATCATCCTGAATGGAGACTGAGGTGGCTCGCGCTGCCGGTGCTGGCACGGGCACAGAATGATGATGATGTTGGCCACTTTGCAGTGTGAGTGCATTTGCAAGCCTAGCCCCAGGCCACCTGATTGGAATGTTTTGAAAGGGCTTTACAGATTGCGCTTCCTCGTTCGCAAGAGGTGCCACTAGCTCACATGTCGCTCAGGTGGTTTCTGCCCTGATGGAAGTTGCGCCTGCCTCAGCATAGCATCGGCTTCCAGCCGGCCAGACCTTGACCGGCGGTTGATTGGATGGCTCTGAGATTAATATTATTAACCTTATTAACTTTATTAACTTTATTAACTCTATTAACTCTATTAACTTTATTGACTTTATTAACTTTATTCACTATATTAACTTTATTAACTCTATTAACTTTTTTTAAAACTTTATTAACTCTATTAACTCTTTAACTCTATTAACTCTATTAACTCTATTAACTCTATTAACTCTATTAACTCTATTAAATCTATTAACTTTATTAACTCTATTAACTGTATTAACTTTATGAACTCTATTAACTTTTTTTTAAACTTTATTAACCTTATTACCTTTATTAACTTTGTCAACTGTATTAACTTTATTAACTCTATTAACTCTATTAACTCTATTCACTTTTTAACTTTATTAACTCTGTTAACTCTATTAGCTTTATTAACTTTATTAACCCCATTAACTTTATTAACCTTATTACCTTTATTAACTTTGTCAACTGTATTAACTTTATTAACTTTATTGACTTTATAAACTTTATTAACTCTATTAACTTTTTAACTTTATTAACTCTATTAACTTTATTAACCTTATTAGCTTTATTAACTCTATTAACGTTATTAACTTTATTAACTTGATTAACTCTGATAACTCTTTTAACTTTATTAACTTTATTAACTCTATTAACTTTATTGACTTTATTAGCTTTACTAACTTTATTAACCTTATTACCTTTATTAACTTTGTCAACTGTATTAACTTTATTAGCTTTATTAACTTTATTAGCTCTATTAACTCTATTAACTTTATTAACTTTATTAACTCTATCAACTTTGTTGACTTTATTAACTTTACTAACTATATTAGCTTTATTAACTCTATTAACTTTTTTAACTTTTTTTAAAACTTTATTAACTCTATTAACTCTATTAACTCTATTAACTCTATTAACTCTATTAAATCTATTAACTTTTTAAACTCTATTAACTGTATCAACTTTATGAACTCTATTAACCTTTTATTTTTTTAACTTTATTAACTCTATAAACGTTTTTAGCTTTATTAACTCTATTAACTCTATTAACTTTATTAACCTTATTAACTCTATTAACTTTATTAACCTCATTAGCTTTATTAACTTTATTAGCTTTATTAACTTTATTAACCCTATTAGCTTTATTTACCCTTTTACCTTTATTAACTTTGTCAACTGTATTAACTTTATTAACTTTATTGACTTTATAAACCTTATTAACTCTATTAACTTTTTAACTTTATTAACTCTATTAACTTCATTAACCTTATTAGCTTTATTAACTCTATTAACGTTTTTGACAGTATTAACTTTATTAACTCTGATAACTCTGTTAACTTTATTAACTTTATTAACTCTTTTAACTGTATTGACTTTATTAGCTTTACTAACTTTATTAAGCTTATTACTTTTATTAACTTTGTCAACTGTATTAACTTTATTAACTTGATTAACTCTATTCACTTTTTAACTTTATTAACTCTATTAACTCTATTAACTGTATTAACTTTATTAACTCTATTAACTTTATTGACTTTATTAACTTTACTAACTCTATTAACTTTATTAACTCTATTAACTTTTTTTTTTTTAACTTTATTAGCTCTATTACTGTTTTTCACTTTTTTAACTTTATTAACTCTATTAACTTTATTGACTTTATGAACTCTATTAACTTTTTTTTTAAACTTTATTAACTCTATTAACGTTTTAACTTTATTAACTCTATTAACTCGATTAACTTTAGTATCCTTATTAACTCTATTAACTTTATTAACCTCATTAGCTTTATTAACTTTTTTAGCTTTATTAACTTTATTAACTTTATTAACCCTATTACCTTTATTAACTTTGTCAACTGTATTAACTTTATTAACTTTATTGACTTATTACCTTTATTAACTTTATTAGCTTTATTAACTTTATTAACTCTATTAACCTTATTAACCTTATTAGCTTTATTAACTCTATTAACGTTATTAACTTTATTAACTTTATTAACTCTGATACCTCTATTAACTTTATTAACTTTATTAACTCTATTAACTTTATTGACTTTATTGGCTTTACTAACTTTATTAACCTTATTACCTTTATTAACTTTGTCAACTGTATGAACTTTATTAACTTTATTGACTTTATTAACTTTATTGACTTTGTTAACTATATTAACTTCATTAACTTTATCAACTTTATTGACTCTATTATATTTGTTAACTGTGTTAACTCTATTGACTTTATTAACTTTATTAGCTTTGTTAACTATATTAACTTTATCAACTTTACCAACTTTATTAACTCTATTTACTTTATTAACTGTGTTAACTTTGTTAGCTGTGTTAACTTTATTAACTCTATCGACTTTATTAACTCTATTAACTTTATTAACCTTATTAGCTTTATTAGCTTTATTAACTTTATTAACTTTATTAACTGTACTAACTTTATTAACTTTGTTAACTTTATTAACTTTATTAACTTTATTAACTCTATTAACTTTGTGAACTTTATTAACTTACTACCGTACTGAGTCGTACTGTTCTTTGTTGCACGCTCTGAGTTTTATCGGTCGTGCGGGTCATGCGACCGAAGACTGGCTTTCCAAAGACGCCGTGGTAGGAGTGCATGTGCAACTTGTTTGACGCTGTACACTGGAAGGAGCCATGGTTTCCAGGACTGTTGTCCAGTCGGCTTGAATTAGCAAGCCAAGACACATGTCCAAGAAGCGTGTACAGCTGCACTGATCATTGCCCCAGCAGCTCAAGCATGAGCCTGTCACAGCCACACCAGCAAGAACTAGACAGGTGGCCTGAAAGCAAACAACACATTGTGAAGGGAAAGGTGAGTGTAAACCCAAGCTGCATTATTCCTGAAGCACACGTGTAGTCTAGTTTCGGCCAAAACCTGATGAATACCTTCGAGTAGGGAAATTGGCAATGCCTGTGTATAAATAGTTCAATGCGTCAGCTGCTGGCCAATTGGTTTCCGTTGGGGCAACTACGCAAGCTGAGACAGTGCAGACATGGAGGGGAATCTTTGGGCGCCGGAAATGTTCTGCTTTTCTGGCGCGAATTGGGTTATCAAAGTCTGCTTTAGCTGTGGTTTGCCAGTAGGAGAATGAACATGGAGGAATTTCCAACCATGCCAGTTGAAAGCCATTTGTTAATCCGGAAGGAGCAACAAGCTTCGTGCCCTCAACTAGCGAGAACAAGCAAGGACTCAGCAATGGCAACAAGGGGACGCATCCTGGCTCAGGTATCAATTGCAACTACTGTGACGGGAGCTGTCCAACCCTCAGACATTTGTTTTTGACAATGGGTGGTTGTAGTGTTTTTCATGTTGTGGAATGGCAAGAGGCGCCTAGAACCAGGCCAATCTTGTTTGAAATGGCAAGCCTTGGAGGGTCCATCGCCCGAAGTCGCCTGGACTCCCCGCCGCCGAAGGAGGATGTGCAATTTCTCCACCCATCACTTGTCAGGGCGTTCGCCAACTTGAGGCTTCTCTACCTGCAGCTGCAACACGGAGCTGAACACGTGCTGTTGCCAAGCTCCCCCAGGGTGCCCATCGCTTTGCTTCCATTGATGGAGGAAGTGGCATTTCTGACTCTGAGTCCGAGTTGGTGAAGGCAATGACAAGTTTCAATCTGAACTTCCGGCGTTGGAACCTGAAACCAGGTACTATGCGCGAGGCTATGAGAAGATTCCTTGCTACCTCCTCGGGCGAAACTCGCACTGGATGTTAGAGATGGACTTAAGCAACCAGTGGAGAGGGCTGCTTGGTTTTCCGTTTATGAGCCATGTGCCCAGTACAAAGATATCCGGCTGTCATGAAAGCAGTGCCACCTTCAGACACAAGGGTCTGCACTTCCTGGCCTAGATTGCATCTGCCTTGAAAGCATTGGCTGGTCTTTTGGTTTCGCTTCTGCCCGCTTGCCAAAGAATGGGTTCCACCTCAACATCATTTCTCGCTTGAGCAACTCCTATTTACTGGTAGATTGGGCGACAATGCCGGGAGCCAAACAATGCCTCAACGATCTTGTTGCTTTGCCTTTCGTTTGAGAGGTTTGCCATCTTGCCTTTGCGATTCTGGACCGGTGTCGTCGTCTCGTCTCAGGCCCGGGTGGGACGTATCAAGACTCCACCGGGAAGACAAGCTGCAAACTGCCATAGCCTTAGAATTTTGGTTCCAAGGAGCCGAGAGTCGGGGTTGGACAGGACTCCATTCGCACCCTCTCAACCTTTCGAACCCCATAAGCCAAGGTCGCCAAGCTTTACAGAAACCTCTCACAGGATTGGATCCAAGGGGCTTGGTGCTTAGGTGTAGCACAGATGCTACAGAGCTCTTTGACGTGAACTACAGAGGCAGAATTTGCAGAATGGGTAAAGGACACTGGGGATGTGGGTTTGGCTTGTGAGGTAAGTTGCCTTCGACACATGGGGGCTTGACTGAGTAGGAGTTAAGTGGGTTAAAGGAGCTAGTTTCGTGGGTTGAGGGAGTTTCGTGCATTCTTTTCTTTGGTTTTTATCGACTTCCTGGAAAGCGCATTGTGTGGATTTTGTGCTAGCGCTTTGGTGGCAACTGAATACTCCCCAAGCCAAAGCCAACACTCACGTAAAGAATGTTAATGTTGTTGTTGGTGCTGGTGTGGAAGATACTGGAACGACGCCGACAGTGCCTTGGGGTACGATGAATAAAGCCCTTAAGTCCCCAAGAAGAAGGCAGCGAACCAAAAACAAGACGCGAGACAAGGACCAACACTTTCGTTGGCTGCCAAGCTGCTGTTACCATGTTTCAAGCGCTGGGGCACTTCACATGTTCTCACGCCTGCGAAGCCCCTCAGTTGCCCTCCAGACTGGGCGAGGCGCCGTAGATTTGGTGGCCTGCGAAGAGGTCCCGAGCTTGAAGGTGGCCGAGCGTCTCTGCGCCCTAAATTTGGTTTGGACAAAAGACGCAAAAGTATTCGGCCAAAAGTGCACCGGCCTCCCGACTGCAAACCAACCTGAGGCTGTGTTGCTCAGATGTCAAACCTGCCTAATTGATTGACATATCTTGGTCACAAGAAGGTGTTGCACAGGCTGGCTCAGGAGCACGGGATAGTCATGGTGCAAGGCGGAAGTCCAACAGGGACATTTACATGTGTCAGACCGCAATTTTCCTTACCAGGCTTCTTTCGTTATTTGTAATGCAATCTGCAAACCAGGCCAGATTTCACCTGAGGAGCTCTCTTCTTTTGCTCATGACTGCTGGCTCCGGGGGCAAATGCAGAGAGTCTAGGAGATTGAAATTGCTGCGCGATTCGCCGAAGCCATTTGCGGGGCGAGGACTGCCGCGCCTGTCTCTATTATTGTATGAATTTCGGACGTGAAAACTCAGTATGCGCGTGATATTTTATCCCACACCCATGTCCTACAAAGGCTCCATGTAACCCCTCAAGTGCCACAAAGCAGGATAAACCTATTGCGTCACAAACTGACTATCCCTCCCACATGCTGAGAATGCGGAGGATGCAGCCAGAGACCGCATCAAATGTCCAAGCCCAAAATGTAAATCAACTTCGGTCGCACGGAAAAGCCAGCCAAGTACTGGGGTGCATGGAATCGCGGGGATGCAGCGTGCAACAAACCACTTTCCCAGAATCAACCATCAATAAAGTTCAAATACCCGAAATATAGACTTCTAAAGCACAACAGTGCTTGCCCCCGCCAAGACCCCAAGCATGCCAAATCCAACATCGCTCAAAGCAGAAACACAACATTGATTGATATCAGCAGATGCAAGTCATGCTGCCAAGACATAATGTAAAACAGGGTTTTGGACACTCGTCAAATTGCGCCAAGCCAAAAATGGCCGCCCCGAAAGCCTGCGGCTTTAAAAGCCATTTCCGAAAGAGCCAGTTGCGGATTGCCCTCACGCTCGACTGTTGCCGGATTTTTAAAAATCGACGAGTGCGCGAAATTGCATATTGGAGATACGACAGGCGACAGCATTGCTTGATGGTTTGTGATTACCTCTTTGTTTGTAATTCAGATCATCCAGATCCTGACTTGCCCACACTTCCAGCTTCGGCAAGCATCACTCCTTTGAGGGTCTCGCACTGAGGCCAAATGCAGCTCCCGCTGTGGCAATAGCACGGATTGCGAGGCGATGAATCACAGATGGACTGTGGGGGTTGTGATGCGAAATCACTGGACTATGTCTATGGAAGCCAAATCTGTTCTGAGCTAGAACGATACTCTTCACATATGGGATCGTCCAAAACGTCCTTGTACTCAGGTATGAAGGGGAACACCTTTTTGTCTTGGTTGGTTGCTTGCTTGCTTGGTTGGTTGCTTGCTTGCTTGGTTGGTTGGTTGGTTGGCTGGCTTGTCGCATCCCCAGCATCGCCCAGGCGTTGCCTATTGGCTCTGATTGCAGTTGGGAGTTGCTGGGGGTTGGTTTAAGCCGGGGGGTTTTATGCTAACGCTCCAAAACCAATCCTAAACTAGCCCACAACTCACGAACTACTTTCCGGAAGCAACCCTAAAGGCACCGCTTAACCAGCAGCGCACCCAACACAAATCAGCTCCGAGCCAACCCCAAGTCCACCTAAAGTCAACGCTAAACCCGCCCAACAGCAGCCTGAATGTCAGCCCTTCGCTTCGCCTAAGTCAGCCATCCCAAGACCCACCCTCATGAAGAGCCTAACCCCCCCCCGCTTAAACCAGCTCCAGCAACTGCCAACTGCAATCAGAGCCACTAGGCAACCGCCGCGCCAACCAGCCTAGGAACAAACCCATCCCTAAAAACTATAAAGCACCTCCACCGCTGCCCTCAGCGCAAGCTTCGCGACGGAGGTCGCGAAAGTTACTTGTTTTCGCGAGTGTTTTGTGTAGGGGTGGTTTGCTAAAAGCAAAAACAGAGGGATGAACCATGTGTATTTGCCGAAAATGCGCGTAGAATGCACACAGCCGAAAGTTGGTCGGAGGAAATATGGCGACCTGAGGATTGCCGCAGAAAACATAGGTCGCTGCAAAGGCAACCCCCAGCAGAAATCAGCTTGTTGCTTTTTGAAGCTTTCAGTTGGGCGCAACTTCCCAGCCGGATTTCGGCAACGGTTTGCGGATCCGCCAAAGTTTCGCAAAAGTCGATGGGCCTCCCGACACGGGTGGCCAAGGGGTCCTCTCCTGTGCTGCTGCGCGGCTTTCGAGCTGGGGCTGCGGAAGTGCAATTTGCACGCTGCCTGGAACTGACAAGTTGCACGGCTGCTTACATGTGCTTCGCGTACGGCTTTCGTGTTGAAAACCGGAACTGCGGAATTAATGCTACTTTTGTGCCCCTCGAAAGCTCCGCGATGGAGGCCGCGAAGATGGCGTTTCCGGGAACATGGAATTTCAGACAACCGCCATATGCTGAACAGCTTGGCTTGAGGAAAGCATTCCAACATGTTGAACCAAGAATGAGATGCGTGTCGGAGGTGTGAGAGGTTGGGCGTCCGTAGACGGACAGTGCACAGGTGCAGTGCGTCTCCTCAGTTTTTGCCGAGCGCTCAGCAGCCTCACAGTCCAAGTGTGGGATCAAATGATTTGAAATTCTGGAACGTGAGAGATTTGCACGTGCTAGAAAAGCATTTGTGCATTCGGCGTAGTTGGCCCTTTGTAACTTCGTCCTTACATGGCCGCAGTGTTTGACTGCCAAACTGGCCAAAAGTGATGCTCGTAAAGTTGCAAGTAGATTTGTGCTCAACACATGCGGAGCAGGGGGCTCACTTCCTATCTATCTCCATTTCTTCAGATGTCGCGTCAGCATTTTGTTTTTGACCGGAGCTGCGTCCCAAGCGCGGCAAACATGTTTTTCTTGTTTTTTTCTCCTCGTCCTTGCCTGATCACCGGGTCGGGGTTTGATTCGAAGTCGCTGGACTTGCGAAGTTGATCTGAACGAGTGAGCGATGATCTTCGTGGTGTCACACCACCAAAAGAGGTCGGACTGCGTTTCATGTGCTACGGTCGTGTCACCCATTCAGACAGAGACACAAGCGCAGGTCCAGGCGCATGCAGACGCACATAGAGTCATGCGTGCGCGTGCGCATGCTGGGGCTACGGATGGTCACTACCACGGCAGGAAGGGTTTTGCCAACCAAGCAAAAGGATCTGTTTTGAGATTCAAATCTGGAGGTTGAGACTGCGATGATGTCGCACCCTGAGAACATCACCTTTTGCGCCCGCGGGCCCAGCCGATACCTTCTACCTCCCTCCAATCGGAACAATCAGCCCAGTTGCTTGGTGAGTTTGTGCATGTAGTTGCAGCGTAGAAGAAAGCTTGCACCAGCAACCCTAACGTTTGGAAACAATGCGTGACTTTTATGATTCAAGATGTTCACTTGAAGGGAAAGCGTCTTTCTGACTGGTTAGATTATGCAATTTGCCCACTCCAGCCATCAACGTATCCCAGATGATGCTGGGATGCCAGCTTTCTGAATCCAGCCGGGCCCCAACCAAGTCAAATCACATGGGGTCGCGCGCGCGCGCCAGCGTGCCAGAGGCCCAGAACGACCAGCCGAAAAAGAACAGCTCGCAAGCTAGCCCGGAAACGCAAACGTAACAACACACTGTAAATAGCAGCGTTTTGTGGCCGGGGGCGCGTGCGCGCCGCACGGCCCAAAAGCGAGGTGGAAAAAAGCGAGGGCCGCGCAGCGCGCGAGCCAGCCACAGCAGAAGCAATACCCTCAGAACATCAGCCCAACGCGCAGCGTGGCATTTTTTGACGGTGTGTACGGCGTTTTGTAGGGAAAGGAGCCAGCGCCGCCGGCATGAGACTTGCTTGCACCCCTTCGGTACCCTCGGAAAACCAGTGTTTCATGGGCTGCGACTCTTTTGGGAGGAAGTCTTGATGATGCAGACCAAGCCCCGCTGAAGCATCACCCAGGCCCAACCCCAAACCCTGATGATGGCTAGCAGGCAAATTGCCTAGCGGCGACATGCAATCCAGGAGGCGTAGCCGGATTCAACGGCTGCCGCCCAGCGCCGCCGACCCCAGATGGCTGAAGTGGAGAAGGGGTCTATGTGAACACCGGACCCTCTCTTTGAAGCCGCCAAGTCTGCAGCAGTCCTGCGGACGCCAGCCCAGATGATAATGATGACGATGAGGACGAAGATGACGATGACGACGAAGATAATGATGATGATGATAACGGTGGATCATGATGACAATGGACAAAGTCCTGTGTGGGCCAAATTGTCGTTTGTGCAGGATCCTGCATGGACAAAGTTGCCCAAGTCGGACCGCGTGCAGATGATGTGATGATGAAGACACGAAGATGACGAGGATGATGATGAGGAAGATGAAGATGATGTTGGAGATGATGATGGTGATGATGATGGATGACGATGATGAACGATGAGGAACAAGGATGGCCATGTTGATGATCATCACAATGATGACAATGATGTAACTAAATGACCAGGACTGGGCACCAACATCCCAGGCGTTGTCTATGATGATGATCATGGGTGTTGATGATGATGAATGACGAGGATCAGGAAGAGGATGACGATGAGGATGATGGTGAATCACCGCTATGCATCCCCAGCATCGCCAGCAGTCACGGTAATCATGACTGCGCGTCTCCAAGTGAAACGTATAGCAAAACGACAGGGGCGATGGATGATGATGAGCGCCAAGCTGATGATGTGAATATGATGGATGGCAATGAGGATGATGATGAGGATGATGATGTAAACGAACACCATTACTACTAACATCAGTGCTGATGACAAGCATCACTACGCGTCCTCAGCATCACCAGCAGTCATGATGATAATCATGACTACGCATCCCTTGCATCTCAAGCCAGGTCTGACGGATGAGACTGATGCAACATATCATCATTACTACTAACTTCAGTTCCATGATGATGATCATCACTATTCATCCCCAGCATCACCAGCAGACATGATGATCATCATGGCTGCGCATCCTTTGCGTCTCAAGCCAGGTCCAACGGCACACTTGAAGTGTAAAAGTAAGGACGACGATGATAATGATGATGAGCAGCATGATGATGATGGTGGATGATAAAGAGGATGATGGTGTGCCATGATGGTAATCATCATTATGCATTAATCATGACTGCGCGAGCGTGAGGATGAGCGGGTGAACTATGATCATTACTACTAACACCAGTGATGATGATACTCATCACTATGCACCCCCAGCATCACCAGCAGTCATGATGATAAGCATGACTACGCATCCTTTGCATCTCAACTCGGGTCTCACGGATGATAATGATGATGATGAGCACCAGGCTGATGATGATGATTATGATGGGCAATAATGAGCACGATGGTGTTGAGGAGGATGAGGATGATCATGTAAACTATCAGCACTACTGCTAACATCAGCGCCATGATGACAGTCATCACTGTGCATCATCACCAACAGTCGTGATGAAATTCATGACCAAGCATCCTTTGCACCTCAAGCCGGGTGTACATCAAACAGGTAAGGAGCATCCATGTTGGTGATGATCATGAGGATTATGATGCAAACGACCATCATTATTTTACACACCAGCGCATCCCCAGCATCGCATCCTTAGCATCTCAAGTCAGGTCCAACGGCGCACTTGAAACGTATACCAAGCATGAGTCGAACTATCATCATTGCTACTAACACCAGTGGTGGGTGATGATGGTGATTATGATGGATGACAATGAGGACATTAGTTTCATCATGACTGCTGGTCACGCTGGGGATGCATAGTAGTCATTTCCGTCATAGCACTGATGTTAGTTGATAATTAACGAATAACTAAAAACATATATATATATATATTTCGATAGTATCGATAAATAACTAGTAGCTTTATGTGCACATATACACAAGACAAGTATTTTTTCAATTTGAATCAATTGTCAGCGAAGAAAAATACAAACATGTTTTTTGCTCACTTTTTTGTTCGTTTTTTGAAATACAAAAATCAAACATTGTAATAACAATGATAGCTTACATTCATCATCATCATCCTCATCATCATCCTCATCGTCATCCATCATCATCATCACCGCCATGGTGCTCATTCATCGTTATCATCGTCGTCCTTATCTTTGTCAAACGCGTTTCAAGTGTGCCGTTAGACCCGGCTTGAGATGCAAAGGATGCGTAGTCATGATTATCATCATGTCTGCTGGTGATGCTGGGGACGCATAGTGATGATTGTCTTCGTGGCACTGAGGCTAAGCATCCTTTGCATCTCAAGTTGATAAGGATCAGGATGATGATGATGATGATGGTCATGATGATGATGGATGTTGCCGAGGAGGATGAGGAGGATCATCACTACCCAATATCAAAAAGGTAAGGACGACGATGATGATGATCCATGATGATGATGAGGGTGATGATCATCACGACTCATGCCCAATACCAGTAATGATGATAAACATCACTCTGCGTCCCCAGCATCCAGCAGTCTTGATGATAAGCATAACTTTGCATCCTTTGCATCTCAAGTCGGGTCTAACGCCACACTTCAAATGAATATGAAAAAGACAAGGACAACAATGAGAATCATGATGATGAGCACCATGATGATGATCATGATGGGTGATACTGAGCATGACGATGAGCATGATGTTGCCCCAAGTCGCCGTCGTCATCTTTACGTTTCAAGTGTCCCGTGGGTTGACCCTGAGATGGAGGGCGGTTATCATCATCGCATCCCCAGTGCTACCAGCAGTCGTGAGGAGAATCATGACTAGGCAGACCCATCAAAGCTACTGGCAGGATCAACCCAGTTAGATGATCGCCATGATGATGATGATCACGAAGAAGATGATGATGATGATGATGATGGTGGTGGCGATGATGATGATGATGATGGGCGCCATGATGATGATAATGATGATGATGATGATGCTGAAAGTGCCTAGCGTGAGATCTAACATTTAGGCAGCATCACCAACACGTCCCGTATGTAAGAAAGACAAGGACAACGAGACAAGCTACTGGCAGGACCCACCTAGTTTGATCACCGTGATGATGACCATGATGATGACGGTGGTGATGATGATGATGATGATGATGATGATGATGATGCACGTGATGGATGATGATGATGATGATGCTGATGATGAATCTTCCTTTTCCTTTGTGCTCATGTGCCAGCAAAACCCTTCCCATGCGCCTCAGCGTTCAGACACCCATAACAAAGAAACGCTGTGAATCTACCCTGTTGATTGCACTCAGTTGTGGCGTGTCGGCCAGTTGTTGGCTGAATGGAGCTTGCCGTGAGTCTTGAACATGGGCTATGGGATGTCCAATCGATAGACCACGCTGCTGAGTCCGGATTGGAGCAGCCCGTGGATCCACAAGGCGGGCTAAATGTGCCACAGTTTAGCTGGGAGCCCCAGAAAGCAAAGGGCAGCACGTTCGCCCAAGCTTTCAACTTGAGTTTATGCGGAGGGAGCAAGTTCTGAACCCAAAAAAACTGTGTCATGCTGAACACGCGCAGCCAAACGCCTACGCTGGCCGGAGCCCGACGAAACTTGGTTTTCACTTGTTTTTGAAGCAGAGGGACTTACGCGCAATGCGGGGGAAATCGCGCACACGATGCACAATCTGCCAAAGCGTCGGGAAAGCCTCGACGCGACTTGGAGCCCCTTGCGTCAGATGCAAGAGACGCAAGGTTTGTTTGAGCCTTGTTTGACTCTTGACCGGATGTCGTCATGTCGCTTGTCCAGGATGCTCTTGGCAGAGCACTCCCAGCTCAGCCCCGGGTTGGCACATGGAGGCGATGCCCAAGCCGAGAGCGCAGCTGAATTTGGCACAGGACGAGTTCCACATTTATTTGTTGTGTGAGTGTTGCCTAGTAGCTTTCTTTCTTTTTTGCTTCTTTGATTGTTTCCTTGCTTGCTTTGTCTTGCTTGCATGCTTGTGCCTGCCTGCCTGTTTGCGTGTTTGTGGTTGTGTGTCTGTGTGTTCTCTCTTTGTCTGTCTGTTTGTCCGTCCGTCTGTCAGTCTGTGTGCCTGTGTGTCTGTGTGTTTGTCTGTCTGTCTGTCTGTCTGTCTGCCTGCCTGCCTGCCTGCCTGCCTGCCTGCCTGCCTGCCTGCCTGCCTGCCTGCCTGCCTGTCGGTCTGTCTGTCTGTCTGTTTGTTTGTTGTTCTTATTTGTCCAGGCCAGCGAGGCAGTTCTGGGATATTGACTGAGCTTGACCTCAGAACATGACCTTCAAACGACCAGGCAGGAACATGGTAGTTAAGTCAGATTTGTTCCTTCAAAGCAGTTGTGTGCTTTTCTTTGGTGCGTGTGTTAGAGTCACGCGCTGCATTGAGATCATGTTTGGTTCCCTGTGGCACGGGAGAGCGGCGCAAGCCAGCTAACCATATTTTAACGCCTCCGGCTCAGGCCGCCGACATTACAGGCCTGCTTTCTTATTTGCGTCCCTTTGGAATTGTCCCCTTGCCCCCCTTCCCCTCAAAGATTTTTGCCCCCCTTTCCCTGCTGAGATCCATTCCCCCTTTCCCCCCTAAGGCCCTTTCTCCTTCTGAGATTTTTCCCTTTTTCTCCCCAAGATATTTTCCGCCCTCTCCCTGTTCAGATCCTTTCCCCCCTTTCCCCCCTAAGGCCTTTGTGCCCCCCTGAGATCATCTCCCTTTTCCTCCCTTTCCCCACTTTCCCCCTAAGGCCTACTTTGCCCCCCCTGAGATCTTTTCCCTTTCCTCCCTTCCCTGTTGAGATCCTTTCCCCCCTTTCCCCCCTAAGGCCTTTCCCCCCGCTGAGATCTTCTCCCTATTCCTCCCTAAGATCCTTTGCCCCCTTTCCCTGTTGAGATCCTTTCCCCCCCTACCCCGAAGGCGTTTCCAGATCTTCTCCCTTTTCCTTCCTAAGATTGTTTCCCCCCTTTCCCTGTTGAGATCCTTCCCACCCTTTCCCCCTAAGGCCTTTCCCTTGCTGAGACCTTCCCCCTGTTCCTTCCTAAGATCTTTCCCCCCTTTCCCTGTTGGCCTTTTTTCCCCCAGATCTTCTCCCTTTCCTCCCTAAGATCTTTTCCACCCCTTTCCCTGTTGAGATCATTTCTCCCCTTTAAGGCCTTTTCGCCCCTGAGATCTTCTCCCTTTTCCTCCCTAAGATCTTTCCCCCCCTTTCCCTGCTGAGATCCTTTCCCCCCTTTCCCCCCTAAGGCCTTTCCCCCCTGAGATCTTCTCCCTTTTCCTCCCTAAGATCTTTTGCCACCTTTCCTTGTTGAGATCATTTCCCCCCCTTTCCCCCCTAAGGCCTTTTCCCCCCAAGATCTTCTCCCTTTTCCTCCCTAAGATGTTTTCCCCCCTTTCCCGGTTGAGATCCTTTCCCCCCTGTCCCCCCTAAGGCCTTTCCCCCCCTGAGATCTTCTCCCTTTTCCTCCCCAAGATCTTTTCCCTCGGTTGAGATCCTTTCCCCCTTTCCCCCCCAAGATCTTCTCCCTTTTCCTCCCTAGGATCTTTTCTCCCTGTCCCTGTTGAGATCCTTTCTCCCCCTTTCCCCCCTAAGGCCGTTTCAGATCTTCCCCCTTTTCCTCCCTAAGATCCTTTGCCCGAGATCCTTTCCCCCTTTCCCCCCTAAGGCCTTTCCCCCCCCTGAGATCTTAAGGCCTTTTCCCCCCCTGAGATCTTCTCGCTGTTCGATCCTTTCCCCCTTTCCCCTAAGGCCTTTTCCCCCCTGAGATCTTCCCCCTTTTCCTCCCTAAGATCTTTTTCCAGCTTTCTTTATTGAGATCCTTTCTGCCCTGTCCCCCCTAAGGCCTTTTCGCACCCTGAGTTCTTCTCCCTTTTCCTCCCTAAGATCTTTTCCCCCCTTTCCCTGTTTTTCCACCCCTCCCTTTTCCTCCCTAAGATCTTTTGCCACCTTTCCCTGTTGAGATCCTTTCCCCCCCCTTTCCCCCCTAAGGTCTTTTTTTCCCCTGCGATCTTCCCCCTTTTCCTCCCTAAGATCTTTTGCCACCTTTCCTTGTTGAGATCCTTTTCCCCCCTTTCCCCCCTAAGGCCTTACCCCCCAAGATCTTCTCCCTTTTCCTCCCTAAGATGTTTTCCCCCCTTTCCCGGTTGAGATCCTTTCCCCCCTGTCCCCCCTAAGGCCTTTCCCCCCCTGAGATCTTCTCCCTTTTCCTCCCCAAGATCTTTTCCCTCGGTTGAGATCCTTTCCCCCTTTCCCCCCCGAGATCTTCTCCCTTTTCCTCCCTGGGATCTTTTCTCCCTGTCCCTGTTGAGATCCTTTCTCCCCCTTTCCCCCCTAAGGCCGTTTCAGATCTTCTCCCTTTTCCTCCCTAAGATCCTTTGCCCGAGATCCTTTCCCCCTTTCCCCCCTAAGGCCTTTCCCCCCCCTGAGATCTTAAGGCCTTTTCCCCCCCAAGATCTTCTCCCTTTTCCTCCCTAAGATGTTTTCCCCCCTTTCCCGGTTGAGATCCTTTCCCCCCTGTCCCCCCTAAGGCCTTTCCCCCCCTGAGACCTTCTCCCTTTTCCTCCCCAAGATCTTTTCCCTCGGTTGAGATCCTTTCCCCCTTTCCCCCCCGAGATCTTCTCCCTTTTCCTCCCAAGGATCTTTTCTCCCTGTCCCTGTTGAGATCCTTTCTCCCCCTTTCCCCCCTAAGGCCGTTTCAGATCTTCTCCCTTTTCCTCCCTAAGATCCTTTGCCCGAGATCCTTTCCCCCTTTCCCCCCTAAGGCCTTTCCCCCCCCTGAGATCTTAAGGCCTTTTCCCCCCCTGAGATCTTCTCGCTGTTCGATCCTTTCCCCCTTTCCCCTAAGGCCTTTTCCCCCCTGAGATCTTCCCCCTTTTCCTCCCTAAGATCTTTTTCCACCTTTCTTTATTGAGATCCTTTCCCCCCTGTCCCCCCTAAGGCCTTTTCGCACCCTGAGTTCTTCTCCCTTTTCCTCCCTAAGATCTTTTCCCCCCTTTCCCTGTTTTTCCACCCCTGAGATCTTCTCCCTTTTCCTCCCTAAGATCTTTTGCCACCTTTCCCTGTTGAGATCCTTTCCCCCCCCTTTCCCCCCTAAGGTCTTTTTTTCCCCTGCGATCTTCCCCCTTTTCCTTCCTAAGGTCTTTCCCCCCCTTTCCTTGTTGAGATCCTTTTCCCCCCTTTCCCCCCTAAGGCCTTACCCCCCAAGATCTTCTCCCTTTTCCTCCCTAAGATGTTTTCCCCCCTTTCCTGTTGAGATCCTTTCCCCCCTTTCCCCCCTAAGGCCTTTCCCCCCCTGAGATCTTAAGGCCTTTTCCCCCCCTGAGATCTTCTCGCTTTTCCTCCCTAAGATCTTCTCCCACCTTTCTTTGTTGAGATCCCCTTTCCCCCCCTTTGACCTCCCCAAGATCCTTCCCCTCTTTTCCGGTTGAGATCCTTTCCCCTAATGCCTTTTCCCCCCAGATCTTCTCCCTTTCCTCCCTAAGATCTTTCCCACCCTTTCCCTGTTGAAACCCTTTCCTCCCTAAGGCCTTTCCCCCCCTGAGATCTTTCTCCTTTTCCTCTTCCCCTCTTTTCCGCCCCTTTCCCCCCTAAGCCCTTTTTTTGCCAGATCTTCCCCCTTTCCTCCCTAAGATCTTCCCCCCCCTTTTCCCCCTAAGATCTTTCCCACCCTTTCCCTGTTCTAAGGCCTTACCCCCCCCTGAGAGCTTCTCCCTTTTCCTTTCTAAGATCTTTTCCCCCCTTTTTGTTGTTGGCCTTTTTTCCTCAGATCTTCTCCCTTTCCTCCCTAAGATCTTTTTTCCCCAGATCTTCTCCCTTTCCTCCCTGAGATCTTTCCCCCCCTTTCCCTGTTGAGATCCTTTCCCCCCCCCTTTCCTCCTTCATCTCAGATGTTCCTTCACCAGCATGGGCAACATCCCCAGCATCACTTGCATCATCCGCATCCTTGGCAGGCGCTGATGCGGATGATGCAGGTGATGCTGGCGATGTGCCGCTGGAGCTGCTGAGGATGCGAAAGCGGACCCGGGGGGAATCGAACACCCCAATGTTTTTTGACAAACTGAGTTGCGCGCAATGAACAGATTTAGTGAAGCGTCTTCGAATCACCGCGTGGTACGTGGACCCCCCCCCCCCGCAATAGTCTGAAATGGTGCCCCTGGGGAGGGGTAAGGGGAGGGGTAACAGGTAAAGAGGTAAGGAGCATTTCTTATGTCCAACGCGCCGTCTGTTGTCGGCGGGTTCACTTGCGTTGGACAACTCAGCATCTGCGCAGTGCATCGACCTTTCTTGGTGCTTGAACTTAAGCACTGGCATGACTGAAGCGCCACGATCAGAAGTGCTACGAGTTTGGGGCCAACGATGAAAAATGGTCAATTCCAAACCCAGGCCTTCGGTTCGACTTTGGCCTGGGTGTACTTGTGCTCCACAGTTCCTCTGTTTATTTTCCTTTCAACGAACAACCGAATAGGCGATTCGCATCTTGGATCAGAACTCTTGCTCTAAATTCATTGGAGGGCTGCGCTCTGGCTCTGTCCAGGTGTTTGCCCTGACACTGTGGCTAGCACTGTGCTGTGCCCAGTAGCTCTCCGCATGCGAAACGGCATGCGACTAATTCGTATATGTGTGGGTGGAGCTTGTTTGCAGCCAAATGTTTGGTAGCGCCGGCCCAAAGTCACATGTGAGCCTTTTGTCTGGAGCCCTCACATACCCTGCAGAAGCCTGCTATGCACAAGCATCGGAAGGTATGGCGTTTGTGTTTTTTTGTTGCGATAGTTTGACATCTTTACATTTACAGTGTACAGCGTTTCACAGACAGTTTCTGTCGTTTGCGAGTTGTTGCAGCCGAAAGAGCGCGCTCAAAAGGCAACTTTGGCCAGGCGCAACTATGGCACGACTCCGATCGCGCAGGAAGTCATCGGCTATGCGGCAAATTCGGCAAGAGGTTCCCTCCCTTCACGGGCATGTGCAAAGACTCCAGCGCGCGCACGCGACAAGGCATCCAATGCAAAAGCGGGTATAGCGGAGGCGGACTTGGGAGGCGACTTCTTCCGCTTCACGCGGAGCCCGGCCCTTGGCCATGGACTCTGGCGCGGATGGGCGAGGCGAGGTTCGAGTTTTGAGTCGGGTAAAGCATACGTGAGCATATGCAGGCATTTGCAGGCATATGCGTACATCGTGCGCATGCGTAGCTCTTGTAGCTCTTGCCTTTCCTAGGGCCTTGGTTCTTTGAGGGTTGCGGATTGTATTTGGGGACCTTCGCAGCCTTTGCTTCCAAGGGCGCACGCTGTATGCGGTCTTGAACCTGCCGCCAGATGCCACGGCGGAGCAAGTGAAGCAGGAGCGAAATCAATCCACAACGCGGGTTTTGTTTTAAGGATAGCGCAAAGTCAGTTTCCATCAGTTTCCTTTTGACCCTCCCACTTGGGCTTGACTTCGAGGATCGTCAAATCACGGGGAACATATTCATGGATGAATGGATGAGGGATTGTAAAGTAAAGAGGCAAGTTATAGAGGGAGGCCAGAATGATAGTTCATGCATTAAACTATGGCACGTGTGCTGAACCGCGGCGTCAGGCTTCACAGGCTGAAGTTGTTAGGCCATGTAATATCCGTTTGCAAAGAGGTGGTGCTGATGGTACGAAGCCATAGGCTCGATGCCGGCCGTCGCAAGGCGTACAGAAAGCTGGCGCTGCAGCATCACCCTGACAAATGCCTTGATCTCGGGGACTGGCTCGAAAGGAAGCCGATTTGGAGATGGACATGAAATTGTGATGTGACTGGCCATCCACTTGCCTGAGTAAGGAGCATGGCCTTGCATCCCGTGTCAGGGGGGTTTCAGCTGATGTTCCTTTTTGACTTTGTTGAGTGTCGAGACCACAAGCAATCTTGCAACCCCACCCCCGCAAGCGCTTGAAACTTCTGGCTGCCACTGGGAAAAAGCCCGAAATTCAATTTTCGGTTGATGTATCTTGAGGTTCTGTTTTGGTATCCTTTGGCGCGGCGGTGGTTGCCTTGTGTTTTCTTTTCGGGCGTCCATGTAGTTTCGTTTGATGTCAAATCATCTGTCGCTTTCTCAGTGTCGTGTTTTTCTCCTTCCCTTCTGGCTTCTGGCCTCTTTCAACTTTTCTGTTGATACGCTTGCATTATTTTTTCTTAGTTTCCATGTTTCTTGACTTCCCCCTGTAGTGATTGTTTGACACTTTTAAGTCTCCCTTCGTTCACGAGTTTTCTTCCGGTTGCCTGTTGGCGTGCCTGTGCTTCCTTTTGGATTTTGCATTTTAGATTTTTATTCTCACCTATGCTCTGCGGCATGTCCGCCGCGCAGGCTGGCTGGATGCACGCGATGGATGGCGGATGGGAGGGAGAGAGGGAGGGATGGATGGATGGATGGATGGATGGATGGATGGGATGTGGTAGGCTGGTGATGTGGATGGATGGGTGTGGAATGATGCATGGGATGGGGGAATGGATGGGATGCACACACACACACACACCATCCCACCACCCACCCACCCCACACCCCCACCCCCACCCCCACCCCCACCCCCACCCCCACCCCCACCCCCACCCCCACCCCACCGCCACCCCCACCCCCACCCCCACCTTTATCCCGCCCCCAACCCAATCCAACCCAATCCAACCCAACCCAACCCAACCCAACCCAACCCAACCACCCACCCACCCACCCACCCCCCACCCCGCGCCCCGCCCCGCCCCGCCTCGCCCCACCCGCCATGCCTTCGCCAGGCATGGAAGGAATTATTTGGGTTTACTGATGCTGATAGTAAGTCTCACCGTAGCACCCCTTGCGTCTCCAACAATGGCGATGATAAGTATCAGCGTAGCGCTCCCTGCATCTCCAACTGTGCCTACCGTGACTGTCGAAATGTATACATATATAAGAAAAGAAAACTATGATGATGATGGTTTTGAAGATGCTGAGGATGAAGGGCGATGATTATGATCACAGTGGTGATGATGACGATGACCATGAGGAAGATGATGACCGTTGTATCTCCAACGATGACGATGATAAGTATCATCGTAGCGTCCCCTGCGACGCCAACAGTGCATGGTGATGACGATGATGATGGTGATGATGACAACGGTGATGATGATGATGATGGTGATGATGATGATGATGATGATGATGACTATGAGGTAGATGATCGTGATGATAGATGACGATGATGTCGATGATACTAAAAGTGATGATCACCATGAGGCTGACAACAAGTCTCACCGTAGCACCCCCCTGCGTCTCCAACGATGACGATGACAAGTATCATCGTAGCGTCGCCTGCATCTTCAACTGTGCCTAAGGTGACTTTCGGAAATGTAGTTCTATACATATGTAAGAAAAGAAAGGGATGCTGATGACCGTCATGATGATGACTATGGTGATGATTTTTAAAGATGCTGTGAGAGATCCCCCTGATCCACCGGGTTTTTGAGCATGGCCAGCCGTTGACCTGAGTGCTTGCATTTGACCTTGGCATGTTGTAACAGTTTGATGCATGTTGGAATGCAGTTGGTCCGACAGCAGACGGCCTACGCATGGAGCGCACGGTCCATCATTGGCAGTCCGGCCTGTGCTTGCAACGGGACACACAAGGCAAAGCAGAGCAGACAGACATTCAGAGCCAGTTGAATTCATTTGTTTCACAGCATTTACCTTTTCATTCGTGAGGTGTGTGCGGAAAACCAGTGCGATCGCTGCCACTGTGCGCTTTCGCATTGGTAGCGGAGCAGGTTCTTTACCTGCGCGCCATGGCCGGAAACGGAGGACAGCCGTTTTACAAAGATGATGAGATCATTGTGGATCGAGATGGGCAAAACCTTCGCTGATGAAGGAATACCGGAGACGTGTTTTGTTCGCCTACGCATCTTTGGAAGGCGACGGGGACACGGCCGAGAAGGGGGCAAAAGATTTGCAGAAGAAGCAACCAAGGTTCGCACGGAAACTGTTGGATGCACTGCATGGAGAAGCCTGGAGAGCGTGCCAAGAACTGCTGAACGACATTGACGAGCTGAGGAAGGAGAAGGGCTACCTGCTGATCTTTCGGGCTTTGCAGTCCGTTGAGAAGGTCACGGTTATCAAGAAGACTGAGGCTTTTGACCAATTCTTCGAGAAGTGTCACCGCGCCAAAGGTCAGCCAGTGGACGCCTTTCTTTGGCAGCGACGGCAGGATTGGGCAGATTTGCTGGACACCACAGATGGAACACAGATGTCGGAGGACCTGAGGGCCTACTTCCTGCTCAAGCACGTGAATCTAAGCCGAGAAGACAGAAGGCAGATCCTGTTGGCCAATCAGTCCAGCTACACGCTGGAGGGCATCGAGCAAGCGCTGAGAGTGTCCTACTACGACATCCACGAGCGGGAGAAAGGTCGCGAGTGGACTGGAGGACGCCCGAGGAATCACTACCATCAGAAGCAGAAGCACTACGCTCATGCCGCAGCGGACGAAGTGGAGAATGAAGAGCTTGAGGATATGAGCCTCGAGAAAGAGGAAGAGGAAGCATACCTGCTGGAGGACGAGATGGAGTCCGAGATGCCGGAGTTGTCTGACCAAGGGGCATCAGAGGATGATGAAATCAACGATGCCTATACTGCCATGGATAAGGAGCGAAGAGGTTATAAGGAAAGCCGGAAGAAGCTGAGAGACATCCAGAAGAGCCGCGGATTCTTCAAGGGCGACTTCAAGGGTGAGTTGAGCTTTGGCGGCGGTGCAGAAGGAAAAGTCAAGAACGAGGTGTTCGGCATGTGGCAAGGTCGGACACTGGGCTGGAGATGCAGGATGCAGCAAGAGCTTCAAGAACGGCCCCAAGAAGTTCGAGAAGGGCAAGAAGGGAAAAGGCAAAGGATCGGGCAAGGCATATCTGGTGGGTGAGCAGCCGCTCTACTTCACTTTGGGCGAGGACGATGAGGAGGATGCTTTCTGCAATATGGTGGGTCACAGTGAGGAGGAGGAATCTGAGATGCAGCAAGATTCTGGACTCACGGACCTGGACTTCAGGCGGAAGAAGGTTTTTGCGATTGCAGGATCAACGGCGTCGGCAGAGTCAGACTGGGAAAAGGTCCTCACCGACGGCGACGAGCACGACACGTACACAGGTCATCCGAAGAACATTCCGGAGATGCCTTGGAAGAAGGAGGACACCAAGCATGTGGTTGAAGAGACAGAGGTGGAAGGCGAACATTAAGATCCTGGTGGCGCCGAGCTTTGAGGAGGTGATGCCTGCCAACTTGAGGACTATGAAGCAGAGAGAGCTAGCAGCAGAGTGCGACGCTTGGGGCATCCAGGTGAGCGGCAAGAAGGATGAGCTTGTGGAGCGTTTGGAAAGTTTCAGCAGAGAAAGCCTACAAGCCTACCAGCACTTCATGTTCAGGACTACCGCACGCACCACAACCACCTACCGGCACGTCAAGCCGGAATTTTCGAAGCTACATCGACATGTCCAAGACGGGCAAGACGGTGCCTAAGGAGAACGTGCGGGGCTACCCGAAGAGCTTGGAGGTTGGCAGGGAGGTTCCACAGGTTCTTTGTCCTGTTTGCCGAAGTGTTATGGTGCTTCGTCAGAACACAGGAGCTTTGTTCTTGCGATTCGGTAGGAGGTTGCAGGGGAACCCGTACCCTTGCACCTGCGAGAGAGGCCATGGAGCAGGCGGAGGATCCGGCTGTTCGGAGCAGTAGCGAGGAGGAAATGAGCCCAATATTCTACTACGTCGGTTCTGCCTATATGGTGCAGGACGGCGAAACGCACGACGGCGAGAATTTATGTGATTCAAGATTATTTGCATGACAATGGGCTGGAGCACCGCCATTTTGGGCCAGCCACCAGTGAGGAGACCTTCAGGTGGAGAGAGGGGAATGGTTTGCCAGCCGACGGACAAGAAAAAGACGTTCCATTTTGCCAACGGTTCCTCAACGACTGAGCAGATCGTGGTATGGGAGATTCCGATCTACCTCAAGGGCCACACTGGTGAGGTGTACTCGGCGGAGGTTCCGGACGGCGCGACCCCACTTTTACTTTCTATTGCAGCTATGACCGCGTTGGACATGGTGCTACGTGTTCGAGAGCAAGTAGTCGAGGTCGGAACTTTGGATTTGAAGCTTCCGATGCTGAAGACCCGTTCCAAACACTTGGCCATTTGGATTGCGCGCAACCCGGAGGAAGAAGCAGTTGTGCCAGGAGATTCACCACGAGTTGTGTCAGAGAAGGATGACCTCTTCGTCTATTACGGCCAAGAGGCGAGGTGGAGCGTGCTTTCGGATCTACCACATCAGCACTACCAGCAAGAACCCGATAAGTTCGCCATTGTTCCGGTGACGGAGCCTCGCGGTGTACGTCCTGGTGATCCCATTGGATAACTTACTTTGAGGAGAGCCAAGGAGTTGGAGCAGGCTGCGCTACATGTACGGGAGGCGGATAGAAGAGTCTGGGTGGCGTTGCGAAGAAGTTACAGCGTGGCCGAACAGATGCTTACCCGGGATTTTCAGACCACGGTGATTTTCGAACCCTTCGGTGGCAAGTTTGGAGTTACCCGGATGGCTTCTGCACAGTTTGGTTGGACGAACTCACAACCACTCGCTTTGCTGGACGGTTATGACCTACTTTCACGGCCTGGGCAACGACTTCTACAACGAACCCTGGAAGAGCACGACCCGTACTTGACCTTAGTGGCATTTGACTGCCGTATGTGGTCACT